GTTGTAGCAAATGTAATCAAAAGCTTATTAAATAATATGTATCAATTAAACAAATAACGAATATATTATAATAACAAACGCGTGTGAGTTAAATAGATGGAAATCGTGAGATTAGGATTATTATTATCATTATTGTTAAGAATGAAGAATCAAGAGAACGGTCGAAGTTAATATTGTCAACGTCAACTGAGTACTATCTAGTATTGTACTTAGATAATTAATAAAAGAAATCATGAGTATCTAGTGCGTTTACAATAAGTATTTATAAACATTATTAAGAATATCCAACATTAATACAAGCTGGGTGGTAAGGAAAGCAATTAGGACACCAATAAGTAAAGTGGCGGAAGTAAAAGGATAAGGATTGGGCAAGAGTCTTTAAGAGTTGAACGCTGGAAAAGCTTGAGGAAAAACATATGATAAATGACTGGCGGGAAACCAACAGTAAAGTTGTGGTGCGAGTGAGAGAGGAAGTGCTAGGAAAAATATCTGGTAAAGGGCCTCCTAGAGACAAAGAAACTTGGTGGTGGAACGATGAAGTGCAACAAGCTGTATGAAAAGAAAACATCCGAGGGGATGAAAAGGTTAGTTATACAGCATTGCTAAAGCAAGGGACAAATCATCAAAGGAGTACCCACGTACGACAGATTAAGAGTACAGATGCAAGAGTGTTAAGAACCGATGTTGAAATATAGAAAAGATGGTATGAGTACTTAAAAAGTTGCTAAATGAAGAACACCAGAGGAGAGACAGAGGATGCGTGATCTCAAATGAGAATGTAATACCGGGGATAGCGAGAGATGACGTTGTTAAAAAAGATGAAGAATGGTAAGGCAGTAGGACCTGATGGAATACCTGTGAAGGTTTGGAAGGCTCTAGGAGAGCCATCTCAGAATTAGCGCTTGTCAAGATCAGTGAGGGCCTTATAATAAACGGTGAGCCACTTAATAACATAAGATATGCTGACGACACCGTCCTTCTGGCAGGAACACTGGAAGAACTGTAACACCTTGCTGAACAACTAAATATATATTGCAACGATTATGGACTAAAAATAAATTTGAAGAAAACCAAGTTCATGGTATTTACAAAAGCACAAAACATCAAAATTAAGCTAGTACTAGATAATACAGAAATTGAACAAATATCTTCGTAGAAATACCTTGGAGCATGGATCACAGAAGATACTGATCAGACAAAAGAAATAAGATGCCGCATTGAAATTGCACGGTAAATTTTTAATAGAATGAGAAAACTTTTTTGTAATCGCTATATCAATATATGGCTCCGGAGCTTCGATGTTATATTTTCTCTACCCTTTTGTATGGTGTTGAAGCTTGAACACTCAAAAAATCCAACATTAAAAACCTAGAAGCATTCGAAATGTGCTGTTAAGGACGTATTTTAAAAAGATCATGGATGGATCGCAAAACAAACGAACAAGTTCTCGAACAACTAGGAAAACAATGCGAAGTTTTAAATTCCATAAAAATCAGGAAATTGGAATACTTGGGGCACATCATGAGAGGTGAAAAGTACGAACTACTAACGAATATAATACAGGGTAAAATCAAAGGTAGAAGAAGCGTAGGAAGACGTAAAATCTCGTAGCTACGCAATCTCCGTGAATGGTTTGGATGCAGTTCAATTGAACTATTCAGGCGCGTAACCAACAAAATTATAATTGCCAGAATGATTTCCAATCTCCGATAGGAGTGGAACTTGAAGAAGAAGAAAAAGGAGAGAAAGGAATTGATTTTTTTTGGCAAATGATGAATAGAATGAAAAAAACAGCTTAAAATGATCTGCTATGCAAACGACGCAATACTACTCTCTCAGCGTGAATATGCTTCTCCCCAAAAAAGACAAAATGCATGGTTATAACATCAAATTTACTAACATGTAAATTGGAGGAGGAAGGTCAGATAGTTGAACATGTGATGGAGTTTAAATATCTATGCATCTAATTATCTAGCTACGGAAAGCTCGAAACCGAAGTGGAAGATCAAGTAAATTGAACAAACAGTGCCGCAGGTTGCATCAATGAAACAATATGAGGAAATAAAAATATCGGGAAAGAAATGAAAAGCAGAATTTACAAAACAGTCATCAGACCAATAATGACATACGCGGCAGAAACACGATCTAACACAGAGAGACCAAAAAGGATGTTAGAAACAGCAGAGATGAAAACACTTAGAAAAATTGATGGTAAAACACTATGAGACAGAACTAGAAGTACAGATATACGAGGTAGATGCAAGGTGGAGAACGTTAAGGACTGGGTAAGAAATAGAAGAATGGGATGAAAAGATAATATAAGCCGAACGACAACAAATTGAGTAGGAAAGATGGTAAGAGTATTCCAATAGGAAGACGATCAGTAGGAAGACCACATAAACGATGGAACGGCTACTTACTATAGGAACATTTAAAAATAGACAAAGACAGAAGGAGAAGAAGATTAGCTGTATATAATATGGCTCTTTTAAACTCCGTATAGAAAGTTTTAACATCTTTAGTTTGAAGATTGTCCCAGTTAACACTTGGTTTATTCTCCCTTTGATGGTTTCCAGTTCAGTCTCACTTAACATTTGTATTTGCTTCTAAAACCCATTCGGAAAATAGCTACCAGAAGTTGGTATCCTCTTCCCCTATTCCCTATTTGCATCTGGACAAGTTTTTGGGTTTGTAACTGAGAACTTCCACCTTGAATTGATCATTATATAATTTATCTGATTTCTTGTTCTGTCCCCCGGTGATTTCCAAGTGTAGAGTCTTCGTAGATAGTGTTGGAAGTAGGTGTTAATTTTTAGACAATTTTCTTTAGCTGCAAAATTCAATTAATATATCGCCTTGTTTATTTGTACCAACTTTAGCATTGAAGTCGTCTATTATTATTAGGATGTCTCTTGCTTAGTATTTTGTTTTAATCATTTTCTCCAAAGTCGTATAACAAATTGTCCACACTTGCCGTTGAGGCTTATACTTGTATGATATGTAAAGCTGGATCCAGACATGCTCCGAATGGCGACTCGAACCACATCGCGGATGGCGATGCGGTCTACATTTTGGCGTTCCATCCGTAACTGCGTTAAATCCTCATCTTCAAGATCGAAGTTGCTGCAGCAGCCTATATTATTATACATTATTCAGCTAATAAAACGAAAAATACTTATGAGAGGAGATGGTGACAAACAGAAATATATAAAAGGAGGGAGATTTATGGTGGCAATCACTCTGGGATTTGACATTTCAGTCGATCAATGGATTATAAAAATTTTTCAAGGATGAAGGACGAAGGACGCCTACCGGCTACCGTCGAATTTTTGATCACTTAAGTAGGTAAAAAAATAGGTCGAAAAGAAACAAGATGGAGAAATGCTATTTCTGTTCAAGAACGATTGGCAGTCACGATCCGTTTTTGCAGGTGTGGAGATTCTTTCACTAGTTAACAATACCTTTTCATAATGTCGAAACAATCTATGTGCAATAATTACGGAAGTATCGTTTGCATCGTTTTTTTTTATTTTGTATAATATTTGGGATTTTTTGTATCCCATAAAATCTCTTTTTTTTTTCAATAATTTTTGATTAGCATTAAACTATCCTCCTCGGTCCATTCCATCTTAAAGCATACAACTGTAGAACATTCAAACGAGAAAGAATGGAACGTCGAAAAGTTTGTAAAACTAGCGAGACGAGTTCAGGATATACTGCGTAGCGTTAGCGTTTCTTTTGATGCGAAGGCAGTTACCGACAACCATTGGAACGCTATCAGCCGAAAAATTGAGAAGGACACAACGAAAGATGGAGAGATCAATGCTTGGAATAAGCTTAAGAAATAGAATAAGAAACTAGAAAGTTCGTAGACGAATCGGAGTGGAAGACATTGTCGAACATATTACAAGGCAAAAATGGAGATGGGCAGGACATGTTGCAAGAATGAAAGACGAAAGTTGGACAAAAAAATTGCTTGAGTGGAGACCACGGGCTGACAAGCGAAGCTGAGGAAGACCCCCAACGCGATGGACCGACGACCTCAAAAGAATCGGGATCAATTGGATAGCAGAGGCGCAGAATAGAAGCAGATGGAAAAGTCTAGAGGAGGCCTATGTTCAACAATGGACAACTCAGGGCTGATTGATGATGATGATGATTGGAACGCTAGAATGTCACTTCGTTGACGCGTCGAAATACAGTACCCGGTTACATGATACCATCCACACTTGAGAATGCGACGTGGTTCGACACTGCATTCGAAGCATGTCTGTACCCGGCTTAAGAATCTAAGCCTAGAAGTTGAAGATCAATGATTCTATCAGTATAGAATAAAGTATAAATGTAAGAATCGTGTAGAATCGTGGACCTTACACGAAGATATGTGCAGACAAGTGGAAGAACTTGAGATGTGGCTATATTGGAGAATACCTAAGATCTCGTGGACTGACTGCGTCACAAATGAGGAACTCCTCAGAAGAATGAAGAAGAACCAAGAGGTATTGAGCACCATCAAATCACGAAAGTTATAATACTTCGGAAACATTATGCGAAATGAATCCAAATATGCCTTCTTACAAGCCATCCTACAATGAAAAATATTTGGAAAGCGAGCTCCATTAGGAAGAAAAACATCCTGCTTAAAGAATCTTAGAATCTGGTTCAATAAAATATCTGTGCAGATTTTCCGCGCTGCTGCAGATAAGATAAAAATTATGATTCGCCAACATTCGTTACGGATATTCACATCAAAGACGAGAATAGTAGGGAAGGCTATATATTATGTTTTTCCTGAAATTTTATTATGAAAACCAATAATTTCATTTGGAATCTGTGAAAACTATCATAGATTCCAAAAATCTATGTTTAATACTTTCTTTTTCAATCTACTTATATTTCTTTCATTACAATCACTTTTTTTAAATTAAATTTGCGACCTTAAATATTGTACACATTTCTACTGCATTTGACAGGGTTTAACACTTTTTTTTCTTTTTCAGGTTATAATAGTACCTCATTCGCACAATGACCCAGGTTGGTTAAAGACCTTTGAGAACTACTTCCATTCGTCTTCAAGACAAATAATGAACAATATGGTAGCTAAATTGCAACAATACAAAAATCTTACTTTTATGTGGTCGGAAATTTCGTTTTTGAACGCTTGGTGGGAGGAGGCTCATCCCAGTAAACAAAGAGCTTTAAAAGATTTTGTTCATTCTGGAAGATTAGAAATTACTACAGGTGGATGGGTTATGACGGACGAAGCTAATTCACATGTGTATGCTATGGTTGACCAGCTAATCGAAGGTGAGTAAAAATATTTTACGAAGTATTTTTTTAAATTGCTTATTTAATTTAATCTATTGGTGTCTATATTAACGACCGGAAGCAGTGTGTGAATAAAGAATTGTGTTAATACCGTCTGTGGAATGTTTTACTGTTTTACCACAAAGTAAGTACAGCAAGAATAACTTACCTAGATAGTCATGAATGAAGAAGTCTGGCGAAGACTTTCAAAAGAAACAAAACTGATAGTGAGATAAATATGAAAACTAAAACATACAATATTTCTAAAATAGGGATACTAAAATCGAGTATTTCCTCCTCGAGCTCGAATAACCGCTCTCATCCTTTCTACCATAGACTGGATCAAAGCAGAAATCTCGGTTTGCAGTATTTGTTCCCACTCGTTTATTAATGCCTATTTTAACGCCACCAGTTTCAAACTCGTTACGATTTTGCCTAACTGCCCTTCCCATAAATGCTCTCTCTGCTTAAGGTCTGGAGTTGTAGGTGGTCAGGCTAATAACTGAATACCAACATCCGTAAAGTATTGCATTGTTATCCTGGCTATGTGTGACCGAGCATTATCTAGCATTAAGAGAAAAGTTGCACCTACAAAATTCATATAAGGCAACACATGTTCTAGACATTCCTAGTATGCCTAGTAAGGCCACCTGCCAATAACATAACAAGATCTGTATGTTCTTCCAAATAAATGCCGCCTCATAACGTTATATCTCCACCACTAAAATGTACTCTAGGAGTTAAGCAACATTGGGCAAGGAGTTCACCAGGCCGTCTCCACACTCTTTGGCGACCATCAGGTGAATATCTCGTAAAACAAGATTAGTCTGTAAACCGAACGTTTTCTCCAAAATTTGTTCTTCCCACAATTAAACATCCAACCTCCGTTATGATATGGGGTTGCATGTCCTCTCGAGAAGTTTCTTGTCTACACGTTATCTCTGGGATGATGAATGCTACCAAATACATTGAAGTACTACAGAATAAGATGCTGTGTAGTGGAAAAGACCTGTTTGGCGAAGAAAAATTTATTTTTCAGGATGGTAATGCTCCTTGCCATAGAGCAAAATTGGTTAAAGCTTAGATGGAGAGTAATGTAATTGATAGGATGGACTGGCCAGCGCTATCCCCGGACCTCAATCCCATCGAGAATTTGTGGCAAAGGATATCAAACATCATTTCCAAAAGCAAATGCACAAATAAAACGAAATTAATCGAATAAATTCCATGCCCAAAGATGTTTGGGCATGGAATTTATGTGGTAAACTAGTTAGTAAAAACAATTGTTGGCCAATTAAATATTAAAATTAGTTTAAATTACTTCAATATGATGTACAATATCGTTTTGATGTAAATAGCCTAATTTTTGTAATATTGAATAAAAAATTTCCCGAACTACATTTTTTTATTAATCAAAATTTTTGCTTTGTTTAAATTTTATAATATTGTGTTTAAGTGCTTGTTTGATGTAGATTACATTAGATACAGTTAAAAAATATTAAGGTAAATGCTTTAAACTTCTATTTTTATTTATTTGGTAAGGTGATGCAGGACTTTGCAGCACCACTGTAGGTAAAACGTTAACATTTCTCAAAAAACATTGTTATAGTAATTAATTAGAAATATACCTATAATGTGAAAAATAAATCATCGAAATCTAATTAAGGGTTCAAAAGAAATATAGTTTTAAAATCATGGTCCATTTTAGGTGGTGCGTTAATTTTGGAGAGTAGTATAGATAGGTCTCTGCTATGGGGGTTTTGCCATTTAAACACCACCCTTGCCAGGCGGGTTGGTGAGTTGGTTTGGAAAATTGGTAGGATAGTAGTTATTGGGTAGGAATGGGGAACGACATGATTTCTCTCCACAGGAGATGAGAGAGAATCAAGGCTCGCGTAGGGCAGGATCGCGATCGTGTCTATTCTCCACTGGGATTGTGAAAGAGTACCTACCGCTACCCAAGCAGAGACTTTAACACTTACGCAAAAATCTGCGAATAAACTCAGAGTTACACAACGAGCCATGGAACGTGAAATGCTGAACGTGAGCCTTCGAGACCACATAACAAACCAACAAATTAGGCAAAGATCAGGAGTTCAAGACGTCATCGAAAGAACCACGTCGCTTAAGTGGAACTGGGCAGGGCACTTAGCCAGAGCACAAGATGGACGATGGACAAGACGTATTATGGAATGGAGGCACAGAAACTATAAAAGAAGCCGAGGACGACCACCGACTAGATGGACCGATGATATAAAAACGTATAGCGGGAAACTGGCTACAAGCGGCCCAGTGTAGAGAACACTGGAAAGAACTGAGGGAGGCATATGTCCAGCAGTGGACGCGATTGGCTGATTGATGATGATGATAGATAGGTAAAAAATAGTTTTTACCATTTTATGCATAAATGGGAGTTCTATATTTTGCATTTATTCGTTGTTAATCATTTTCGAAACTCTAGTAAAAACTAGTGTTTCGTTAGTAAATTTCATCCAAAAAGCCGACCAATGTAATTGAATCAAAATTCATATAAATTCGTTTTTAATTGAATGAAATAATCTAATATTTGAATTGCTGTGCCATTTCTACAGCCAAATTCAACATATTTAGATTAATATAGTATTGATTGTCTTTTTGGAGTAAAATTCAGAGATCGTCTTTCATCTAATCGACCTAGCAGACACCGTTCGACGTTGAAACTGTCTACCGTGAGTACTAATTACTTAATCGAATAATACAGGTATGGGTATTAACGTAATCCTATTGTAGTAAGTAATAATTTTATTCAAGGTCGTTGGTTAACATTACAGAGATCATTAATTTGTCTATGCCAATGGGTAGATTAATAACACCATTTTAGTGTATAATCTCACAGTGTGCATTTTTTTTTCTATTTGGTATTAAAAAAAGTATATAAATTGAACCAATGTTTTTTAACTAGCAAAGATAAAGAAAAAATGTAGTTTACAGTTTTAAAAAAGTTATTGATTTTCTAACTTATTTCTTTCACACATATATCTTAAAAAATCATCTGCTTTCGCAATCGAGACTTAGTGAAAAATCAAAATTTTAAGGAAGTTTACATGACGGCCGGCTCATAAAATATGTATTTTAATAGAGTTTGTCTCTAAAAATGTTGTGAATCTAAGACTTTTACCTGTGCCCACTGGTATTGAGGAAATCTCTGACATTTTAATCCCTTTAAGTCACTAATCCTGCTAAAATGCAGAAATGCACGAACTGTAGAGGAAATTCTGACCAGCATACAATGAGAGAAATAAAACAACATATACCTGAAGAAAGATACAGAGAAACGGAAATCGTGGACGACCGATGAAATACTTGAACTTATGGATCAAAGAAAAAACTTCAAAGAAAATCTTCAAGAATATCATAAGAGAATACATACCATCATCAGAATAAAGATAAGAGAATAATAATAACTAGCGGACCAACTCGACATCGAGTTTTTTAAATGAAATTTTTATTTTGCGAGAAAAATTAAGAGATCAATACAAACAATATAAGCAAGAATGTACATAACATTTATCAATAATAATGCAAGTAAAAAGTGTATTAAATATCACGAAATATTTCGTCGAAAACAATGTTTTTTGTTACAATGTCTCCATTTTCTGAAAACTTTTGCTTGGCTCCGGGAGTTATGTAAACTTTTACTTTTTAATAAAAACGAAACCGGAAGTCGACTTCAAAACCGGAATGCAATTTTTAGTTCATCAAATGTCCACATGGATATCATTTAGCAGTTAATTTTGCATGCTGATCACGAATCCGGTGTCAGATTTGCTCTAGCTTGACGTTTTATGTGCGTTTCGGGTCACTTCCGGTGTCGGATCGCAACCGGAAGTACATATTTAGATTCGTCTCGACGAGACCTTTCGATCCATATATACATTGGGGGTCTAAAACTTAAAGTAAATTTTAACTTCCGGTCATTTCAAAACCGGAAGTGAATTTTTTGTACCAAAAGTATATCTTGACAATCTCATACGTAATACTAATAATATTCCGAAAAAATATTTTAATTATCTAATATGGTTTTTGGGTAAAGTAGTGGACAAGAAAGCTTAGCGTTTTAGTATACAAGATAACACATGATGAAGGCAATCTTGCCATAACCAAAGCAGATAAAAGAAAGTATGGGAAGAATACTTGTAGAAACTTTTCCACGATCTCAGAACAATACAAGAACCCACCATTGAAGAAAATTCAGGTCCCAAAATCCTACCAGAAGAAGTAACGGCAGCGGTCAGACAAATGAAGGGTGGATAGGCACCGGGATTTGAAGAAATTCCTGCAGAACTGCTGAAGCTATTAGAGGCAGAAAAAATAAAAATAATATTTGAAGTGGCTCAAAACGGAGTTCGCACCATTGCTCAAAAAACTATAGGACCAAAGTTTGTGAAGACTATAGGACCATAAGTCTAATGAGCCATCTGCTCAAGCTGTTTTTAAAAGTCATCCACAAAAGAATTTACCGGAAATGCGAGGAACAAATTACGCCCAATCTTTTTGGATTTGTGAACGCCGTTCACATATGCCTACTGCATATGCATACTCGTTCCTATCTCGATTATGTTTAGAGATGCATGAGAGCTGAGTCACGGTCTAGAGACGACGTGGTAAAAGATGAAATCCAGATTTTTGTCGAACGGATCGTGCACTGAGGAACATCTCCAGGCGTTCCAACATCCCATTTTTCAACAGGATAACGCAAAGCCACACATTACGAGAATCACCATGGACTTCTTTGAACAGGCTGGTGTCAATCTTTTGCCCCAACCACCGGAATCACCTGATTTATATCCAAATGACCACATGTGGGACATAATATCTGTGAATACCATATCGTATTCGCAGATATGTATAGGTAATGGATTTTGGGAACAGCTATGACCTTGAAAATGCGACAAAGAATATAAACTAAATATCTCTTTTCTTACTCATACTCTTTAAAGTATTTTACAATATTTTAGAATCTAAGATATGTAATTATATTATTAATGTATTGGATTTTGACAAGAGCTATGCATTACGCCTATTTAGTACACAAGTTTATGTGAAATGTTCAAGGTCAGAGCTGTTCCCAAAATCCATTACCTATAGTCGAGAAAACGTCCGTCAATATTAAGACCCTTTCATTCTCATCCTTTCTTTTTCTTACAGTGCCTATCCTTTCAGGACGTAGGCGATAGGCTATATTTACTTTTTTCTCAGGTTTCAAAAAGTAAGAAATTACACTTTTTTTTTTATTTTAATTTTTAATTACTTTTTCTATACACTTTGCCCTAAAGAACCATGCATATATCTGTTCATTTCTTATAATATGCCCAAATATTGTCATTTGCAAAACTTAATTGTATAAAGATAAGCTATCTTTATACAATCTACATCTAGAAAATATACATTCTTAGCCTACATCCCCTATATGTACCAAATAGTAAAATAAAAAGTAAACTTCAGAGAAGAAAATATATTAAAAATATTCTGTACTTATGAGTATTTGCCTAGGCATAGTTTAAAAAAAGCAAATGGAAATAACAATTATTGCAATTTTGTTGATTCTTTATTCGTATTTGAAGTTTCGGTCATTTGCATTAGAAATAATACACAACGAACTGCAGTTAATCAAGCTAATGGTTTAATTACCATTGATTGAGACCGTTTGTTATCGAATTTAAAAGATAATGAATAATTAGTCTGTACGTTGTGAATTTTGCATATACGGATTTCAATTGTCAATTTCCGGTGATTTCGTAGCTATCGACTTTTAGAGAGGAGTGAACTGTAAATTTATTCTAACCATACTATATAAAATTCGATAACGTGTTCTTTTAAAATTAAATTTTGTCACGGTATTTAATGCGTGTGCCCAAATTCAAATATGGTGCATCGAATAATATCTTATATAAAGTCCATTCACAATTATAAGAACTGACTTATGCAGAATTTAAAAGTATCCCGCTGATAAAGTCGAAGTCATAAAGAGATTTGCTTCTTCAGGTAAATAGTAAAAAGGGCCGGCTTAACGAATTTTAAATTTCTTTGGCATTTACATTACATATTTAATTTAAATAAATATCTAGATAATTAAGGGAAAAATACATAAATTGATGGAGTATTAGAATTAATTATTATATTTTTCGATTCTTTATTAAATATATCCAAATTTTGAAAGTAATAAACAATTTTTGTTATGTTAAACAAATTGCAAGTGAAATAATAAAATAGAAATGAATAAATATTTACCTTTTAAAACGAGTAAATCGGTACTCACCGAAGGGACCGAAGAAGTTCGCATACAATTAGCGTCTCTTTGTAAAAATTAGCTAAGAGTGCCGTATTCATACAAGAATAAATTCTAGTGTTTATAAGTGCTACAACCTGTGGTTCAACAACGAAAGATGACCTGTGATTCCAGTTTTAACATGGCTCAGGACAGGACTTGGTAGATATAAAAACATTTTGACATTTTATTTGAATTCTGAACTATTCCGTCATGGTATATAGTGTTTACTGACTTCATATTGCGGTACAAAATTGTGCTAAATTAATATTTGTATAAGGTCCATGCTTTTAGTATTAGCGTTTATTCAGAAATAAAATCTGTATTTACTATACTCAACTTTTTATTCTAATTTATATTAAAAAAGGATTAGACAAACTTACCACCCCGGGACGGGGTGTGATTAAAATCAAGCGTTGGTGAAATTAATACAGTCCATTAGGGGTCATTCGGACGCCTCTTAGTTCATGATAATAAGGCATATAGCCCTCATTAGTCAAGTTATAAGTAAATAGTAAAATATTTAATTTTTAATTAGATTAATTTAGAACCATATTTATATTGTGTCTGATTTCTTAGGATGAATTTTGTTTTTAATCATAATAGTTACACAAGTTTTTACTTAACAAATTTTATATCTTTTGTATTTTTAATAATCTTTTTAAATGTCGTGTTAATGTATTGTGTTATTTATATGCTTAAGTACTTAATATTTAAAATTTCTAGGGATTCTTGACTGCATTTGATTGTAAGATTAACTGTGACACTATATTTTAAGTGCAATAAATTTTACTCTAATGATTATTTTATTGATAATATAACCTTAATAATAATAAAATTTTATTATATATATATATTATATATTATATATATATATATTAGGTATATATAGGGTTTTATTAATTTAATTTCCCTAAAAATATTTCTGTAATGAATTGAAGTTTTCAAAATATCAGTTTCCTAAAATTCAAATTAGTTGGTTCAAATTTTCTGGTAGACCTTACAGCTGATTATCGGACTACCGACGTCATAGAATGCGGTGTTGCCTTTTTTACTTCATGGCTTGGAAGTAAAGGTGGCTGTGACACTACACATTACTCCCATGAGTTAATAAGTTATCGTCTAAAAAAATCATTGTGAAATTGACGGCCAGTTGGTTGTGAAAACCACTGCCAATGAAACACAAAACACAGACACAAAACAAGTATAAATATTACATCACATGGATATTATGTCAAATCTGTGTCACTATCACTGTCGTCTCTTAAATTGATGATCATATTTTTTTATATTATGTGTAGGAAAATAATGAATTCTCAGCTTTCATACGCGAGACTGCATTTTTCCAACTATTTGCATCAATGTTACCCCTATTAGGGGAGATGTTGGGTATTAACTTATTTTTAAACCAGTCTTCAAATATATCTGAAGTTGTGTTGTCATAGTAATCAAGACATGAATCACTGATGTTTTTAGCTGATAGAGGTAAGGCATTTGGAACCCATCCATCAACTGATCAGGCATGGAATATTGTTATTCTTTTTCCTCTATTAGAAGGCGCTTTTGTTGAACAAGATTGACTACTATCTTCCCAACCTTTAGATGGCGTATCGTGAGTATCAAACTACATTTCATCCAAATAAATAATAGGTCGATTCTCTCGACGATACTGTTTAATTTTGTTTAAATATTCCGTTCGCGATAGGATTCCATAAGTACCTGTCTTTTATCTACTTTTTTGTATTTAAACCCTATACGTTGCAAACACGTCCAAACAGTTGTTCTGTCGCACTTAATTTCAGTGTTGTCGACGTGAAGCCTGTCAACTAATATATCTAGTATGGGTACAATTTGTTCTTCATATAAGGCATACATTTTGCGACGAATAAGATCTTCATCTGCACGATCGAGCTTCCGAGAAATACTGTTATCCCGTCTTGTTAATTTTGGTATAATAGGATTACTTACAATTTTTTCTGACTGTTTATAATGGCTTTTTAGTCAAAGTTGCCGTTTTATGTTACCGACAAGAATTTGAAAAAACATTGGCAATAATTTGTTTTGCATCAGTAGATAAATGTATTCGTTGGCGATGTTTAGGTTCTAATACCTGGATGAGGTCACTCCTTGTCGATTTGGTTCATTAACTGGCAAAACTTGCCTTATTACCCTCTGGACTCCAGGGACGACACATTGTTTCATACAATAAAGGTAAATTTGACTTACGTGGATTCACCGGCAAGTATACACACTCTAAATTTAAAAATACTTTTACTAAAACACTTTTATAACAATACTCAACTAATTTTTGCACAAACTGAACACTCAAACGATTTTACAACCAATTCCATCAAAATCAGACTTTTAAGTGTTAGTTTGTCATCGTACAACTCTTCAAATTAAAAAACAATTAAAAATTAACAGGTAGAAAGTTATATAAATTTCAAGTAATTTGTTAGTAGGTCAATTAATTTAAATATTTACTCATAACTGTATTTACGGGTTTGTCAGTTGGAATGTGCTGTTTGAGATATTACCCGTGTTCCCAAAACTTATTAATTTCCACGGCCGGTCCAGTTAATTTGACTAAATTAAGATCTTCATAATTTTGAGCGCATTTTCTTCGTTGAGACTTAAAATAATGATTAATAAAATAATATAATAATTATGGGAAATTTGTATATTTATAAAAAGAGTTTTTTGACATTACTCTTGAATGATAATATTTGATCTGATTATATGTACCTACCTACAAACAGTTGACATCATAAAAAAATGATTTTTTTTCTTTCAGGTCATCAATGGGTCCTAAACAATTTAGGCATAAAACCTCAATCAGGTTGGTCAGTAGATCCCTTCGGTCATGGCAGCACTGTTCCGTATCTTCTGGCGGCTTCTGGTTTAAAGGGTACTGTTATTCAACGAATCCACTACGCTTGGAAACAGTGGCTAGCAATGAAACAGTATGGCGACTTCCGATGGATACCTAACTGGACTCCTGCCGATCCTTATGGATCCATTCTGACCCATAACCAACCTTTTGATATTTATTCTATTAAACATAGCTGCGGACCACATCCTTATATTTGCCTGAATTTTGATTTTAGAAAGGTAAATACACATAATTGAAGTATTTGTTTTATTTTTGTTGATTAATTAATTGAATTTGAAAATATGCTTGAAGAACGGAATAGAGAAACCTCCCACATCCACTTCAAAACAGATCAGCCCTAGTCTACAAAGCGCTACATATATATGAATTTCACTTAAGTCAAATAATTATTTACAAATTAACAATTGATATTATTAGTAAACTAGTTCAAATAGTTTATTGTAAACTATATTGTTAATTTTTTTAAAAACGACAGTTTTCGATTTTTCTTTATATTTTAATTCGTTTTATTAATTTTCAGGTACAGGGCGAATATACAGAGTATTCCTTAAAAGCTCAAGCAATTACAGATAAAAACGTTAAGGAAAAGGCAGAATTGTTACTGGAGCAATACGCCCGAACGGGATCATTGTTCCCTCACAATACGGTTTTGATGCCTTTGGGAGACGACTTTAGATACAATGTCAAAGAGGAATGGGATCAGCAATACACGAACTACATGAAACTGATCGATTATATTAATGCCAATAAAAAGACTTATAAAACTGATATCAGTTTCGGAACACCAGCTATGTATTTTGAGGTAAATATTTTTACATAATATATAAATATAATTTGCTAACACAAATCTTAAGGCCCTTATAAGATAAGATAATTTTGTTGTTTTCACAATTTATTTCTGTTATTACAACAAATTTAATACTTCAAGGAAGGTAAACCAAAAACATTGTGCAAAAGGGCGCCAAAAAAATAAAAAATCACGGATTTTTAAAAAGTTGAAAAATAAGAAGCTATAAAATAATCCATACCATGTCTATGTTTTTAATATTTTTTTAAAAGTTCTGTTTTATCATTTATCTCCATTGTTGGCGAGATATTCACTTATCAGTCCCTTCTTTTGGACTTTTGTGAACATTTCTTAACTTGTTTGACTTTAACGAGGTTCTGAAACTGTTTTGTTGTGGCATATTTAAGTAAAATATTGTATTTATGTGGGACTAAGACTAAACCAGATTACCTTAATCGAAATGATGTATTAAATAGGTATGTAAGCTTAGTGAAGTATTTCTTTGGTAGTTGTTTTAATATTTTTCGCCTGTTATAAGATCGAACCCTAGAGCTTTTTTGTGATGAATATTCCCTTTTATTTCCTTGGCAATTTCTTTAGTACTAGTAGGTTTAATTTAAAGAAATTTTGTTCAGATCTATTCATTTTAACCAAGTTTTGCTGGGTTGGAACGGGTTTTCGAGATGCTGTGTAAAACGACTAGCTTTTTGATCATTGGTTCGGACCCAGCTTCCATCACTATTTCTGATTAGTAAGTATAGGTCTTTTGAGCCGTTTGGTGCCCTTTTGGAGAGAGAGTATCCCCACTTTTTTCATCTGACTACACGCTAAGATATGTTTCAATCGATTCATTCTTGATGTGTTGTATTTTTCGCTTGAGATGTTGTGACGCATTATTTAGCTTGTCTTATCCGTGGGATACTTGGTTTCTTGTTATTTGCAACTTAATTAAGGTTAAGTGCTATGTCATTGTTTGATGTTCTATGATTCTGATTACTTTTCTCAGTGCTATTGGTAGCAGTTCTTTCTGGAACTACTTGACTATATTGTTTTCTGCTTTGATCATTAGTTTAGGTTTTTTCGAGTTTTTTGGCCCTTTGGACCGTCTTTGCTATTGTTCAGGAAGTATAGGTGTTCTTATTTGCTTATTTTTAATTGTTTAAAGTTCCATGACAACTATGCATCCACGATAATTTGCCGGCTGATCTTCCCCGCATTTAACGAATTTTGGAGTAACATTATTTGGCTTATCCGCCAGAATCCGGAGATCATCACGTTGATTATAATAGGACGGCTGCGTTAGATGGGATATGTGGAAAGAATGGAAGAAGGACTGAGGAACATAGAACAAATATAAAATGATATAACGACCTTAAAAAAATGAAAAAACAAGCACAAAATAGATCAGAATAGAGAAGAATTCTGGAACAGACCAAAACCCAAAAAGGGTTGTCGAACCAGTGATGATGATGATTCTTTGGCTTATCACAATCTCTGGTGGTGTGGTTTTCGATACATCTCACACATCGAAGTTTCTTCGCACAGTAATTTTACGTATACGCATAGGCTTGGCAGTTTTTACATTAGAGGATTAATTTATTAGTATTTAGCGGGACAATTTCCACTGGCATTCCCATAATGTCTGTAATTTCAAATATTTTATTGATATCTTCGTCTTGTTTAAACGTCAGGATGAACATGTTTAATACTTGTTTGTTTTTGTATTTTAGTTTAGGAATAGCTGCTAGAATTTTTAACCTTGATTACTTGTTCGTGCTGAATATTCTCATTGGGACAAGAATAATGCAGCAGGTTTGCTGCCATTACTTTAATAGCCCGATTCTGCTTATTTAGCATTAGATAAATATCTTGTTTGTTTTAGCATTAAGCTGGCGGTAGTTAATAGAAGTCGCGTGAAATCTTCCTTCTTTACAAAGATTAAGGATGAGGCCCACGGACTATCTGATTGTTCAATGGCACCTTGGTTGACCATACGTCTAATAATTTCTTTGGCTTTGTCTCAGTTCGCAAAAGAAAGTCGTTTTGATTGTGGTCAATTGACTGAGCATGTCCCATATTGGTTGTATGGATTACTATGATTGTTTTTTTCTTATCCTTTTGATCCATGGCATAAACGTCTTGATATTTTATCAGCATAGTTTTTACTATTGTATCCATTGTAAAGATCGATCATTTTGAGAGATAGGGCTAATGCGCTAATGTACACTGAATGAAATGGATAATGCATTAGGGCGGACAAGATGTACAAGAATATGTACAAATCTAAGAAATCACCAAACTGGAATACCATCCAAGCACAAATTTAGAAGCGGAAAATACCAGAACTGGAAACGAAGGTTTTATAGAAACCTATGGAATACGGCCGTATTTAAGAGGAAGAAGTGAAATCGTTTTCTGATAATTATTTTTCCAAGCACGCAAGGGACTTGTAATCAACGGAAAATTTTGAAACACTCGATAGATAATTGCTGTTCTTCTGCCAAAAATATCCCAGGACTGTCGAAGTTTATTTATCTAGTGTATAAAACAATATTAAAGTTAACTTCTAGAGATAATATATTAATGAAATTAAATGCGTCTGATGCAATAAATAAATTGGTAGGAATCACAATATGTATCTAAATAATGAGTAGGAGTAAGACCATGATTACAATCTAAAAGCGACATGTTATACAGGGTGGTCCTTAAGTAATTGTACAAAAAGAAACCGTAGATTCTACACTTTAAAATATTACGATTTAAGTCAAGTTACTTTAATAAAATGTTAATATTAAGAAAGATACAGGGTGTTAAAGTGGAAATTTAAAATTTTATTTTTTGCTATAACTTTCATGTTTGTCAACATTTATGTATAAAAATTTACAACTGGGTAGTATTAAATATCAGAAATTTTAATTTGATGTATACTTTGATGTATCTGATAGAGGGCGCCACATATGCCACATATGTGGCATATATTTGCACTTAACTTTTTTGCTCCTCAAGTTATGCGTATTTTTATTAAAAAATATTAAAGATACATTATTTTAACAAAAAAAAGGTATACTTCTTAATATCCTCAAAACTCAACAGTTTTCGAGATAATCGCATTTTAAAAATCAACTACATAATTCTGATTTATCTCAATTACTCCAGACAACGAAAGAAAATTAAAGAAAAACATAAATACTTCTGAATTTTGGTATAAAATACCTTTAATAAAGTTAATAGTTAACGAATTATTAAATAAAATAAATATATCAGCAGGATAAAATAACAGGATTTGATAAATAACAGAATAATTGGATTTTACATCAAACATTTTACGTTTTGTATTAAATTAAAGGCATAATTAAAACATTTTATTTACAAACCAAATTAAGAAATAGTTAAACTAAATAATGTTGAACTTTTTGTCAAAGTAAGTGTTCAATATGTCCACCATTTTCTTTAATTCATTTGTCAATACATTCCATAAAATATCGTCTCATATTAAATAGCATCATTGGTTCTAAAGAAACTGCTGCAGTATTTATTATAAGTGTTATACGTATAATAATAAGTAATTTTTTGAAATTTTTATGAATTAAATAATTATATTAATATCTACCACAAGAATATGACTACCACGAAAAATTCAACGTTCAGGAAAGTTGTTTTTAAACACTGTCTCACTCCGCTTTCTCTGTAACGTAATGGTGTACCATCTTATAGAAACCACATATTTCGCCTTAAGTTTGATGACAATTCTTTGAATAAATCAATAAAATAATTTTATAAAAAATGTAAATAAATCTCGACATTCAAATTGCAAAGTAATTCGCATATTCGTAAAAAATAATTACCAATGATTCCAAACCATAGGACATGCATTTTAAATATGAATTTTGAATGATATTTTATTGATATGCGAATTACCTTGCAATTTGGATGGTTAGATTCATTTAGAGTTTTATAAAATGATTTTATTGATTTATTGGAAGAATTGTCATCAAACATAAGGCTAAATATTTGGTTTATGCAAGATGGTACACCAATACATTACAGAGAAAGGGGAGTGAGAGTATTTAAAAAAAACTTTCCTGAACGTTGGATTGTTCGTGATAGTCATATTCCTTGATTATGTGGTAAGATATTAATATAATTATTTACTTCATAAAAATCCCAAACGAATACCTATTGTTATACCTACTTATAATAAGTACTGCAGCTGTTTCTTTAGAACCAATGATGCTATTTAATATGAGACAATATTTTATAGAATGCATTAACAAATGAATTAAAGAAAATGGTGGACATATCGAACACTTACTTTGACAAAAAGTTTAATGTTATTTAGTTTAACAATTTCTTAATTTGGTTTGTAAATAAAATGTTTTAATTATGACTTTAATTTAATACAAAACGTAAAATGTTTAATGTAAAATCCAATTATTCTGTTATTTTATCGAATTCTATTATTAATTATCCTGCTGATATATTTATTTTATTTAATATCTCGTTAACTATTAACTTTATTAAAGGAATTTTATAACAAAATTTAGAAGTATTGATGTTTTTATCTATTTTTCTTTCATTGTCTGGAGTAATTGCGTTAAATCAGAATTATGCAGTTGATTTGTAAAATGCGATTATCTCGAAAACTGTTAAGTTTTGAAGTTATTAACAAGTATACCTTTTCTTTGTTAAAATAATGTATCTTTAATATTTTTTATCAAAAATACCGCTAACTTAAAGAACAAAAAAGTTAAGTGCAAATGTATGCCACGTATGTGGTATATGTGGCGCCCTCTATTGGCTATATCAAAGTATGCATCAAATTATAATTCCTAATATTAAATAGTACCCAGTTGTAAATTTTTATACATAAATGTTTACAAACATGAAAGTTATAGCGAAAAATAAAATTTTAAATTTCCACTTTAACACCCTGTATCTTTTTTAATATCAACATTTTATTAAAGCAAGTTGACTTTAATCGTAATATTTTAAAGCGTAGAATCTGCGGTTTCTTTTTGTACAATTACTTAAGGACCACCCTGTATATTTCAGCGAAGATAAAATATTAGATCAATACGTAAATCGATTATCACAGATTATTTTAGTTCAACCTAGAATAATTTGGTGTTAATTACATTACACCTCTCGAAACGTACGTATTGTATAAGATTATATATATATATATATATATATATATATATATATATATATATATATATATATATATCTCCCATATATGTATATATATATATATGTATATATATATATATATATATGTATATATATATATATATATATATATGTATATATATATATGTATATATATATATATATATATTATATATATATGTGTATATATATATATATATATATATATATATATATATACGCTCACCGGCAAAATTAACGGAACACCTTAAAAATGGGACATGTTAGATGACCCAAATTTCCTAACCCTGTTGTCCGATTTTAGTGATTTTTTTTAGTATGTTATAGGTATATTATTTAAGAATATCAATGAAATAATATTGTTGCTAGACAGGTCAACGTCATTTTTTACGGGTGTAACAATCATACTGTGTTTTTTCCTTAAAGTTCGAAATCACCCTGTGGAATATTCTAGCATATATAAAATATTGAAATTAAAGCTCAATTATAGTCTCAGGCTTTCTTAACATTTTCTTTTTTGATTCATTTGCTTGTGTTGGATAATAAAAAAGTTAGGTACGTTAACAACTAGCCATGTTTTTCATCAATAAATGCTCATTTTCTTCTTAGTTTCACCAGCATATTTAAAGGAACAACCATAAAATCTGAGTATTTTCTCTCTAGTCTATATACTGTTTAGATAATATCATAATACGAATGTTGGTGAAGTATTTTGAATTTATATTACAATGGTAGTACAATATAAAACCTGTTTAAGAAGAAATAAAACACAAAGATGTCAGACTCAACAAAATACGGATTTTAAATGCATTAACTTTATTGTACAGTTTGAACTTAAATTGTTTTTTATGCATTTTTTTGGCTTTAATAGCGTGTGTTTCCCCTACGAGCCCTTACAACTGCAGTTATTCGTCTTCTCATACTTCTGATAACGCTATCGATCAGTTGTTGGGCAGCCTCTCCCATTCCTCAATCTTTTGCAATTGTGACTTCTTCTCTGTTTTGAATAGCAGGAACCCGTGCCCTAAGTTTTCTGCCTAGCATGTCCCACATATCCTCTATCGGGTTTAGGTCTGGGGAACAAGCTGGCCAATTCATCGTTGTTATACCCACTTGTAATAAGAAATATCTTACACTTACACTCTTACACTATAAAATAAAATTTTCGCCAATATATGGTGAAAAAGGTACCACATGGTCTTGGAGAATATCTCTGATATACTTATCTGCTGTTAATGCTCCACCATCAATCACCACTAACTCTGTTATTGCTCCCAAACATATACCGCCCCACACCATAATTGAACCTCCACCAAAAGGTACGGTCGTAGTAAAATTGAAAGGGGCATTTCGTTCTCCTTGGCGTTAATACAATCTTTCTCTACCGTCGATGTAATTTACACAGAAACGGCTCTCGTCCGTAAAGAGAATTTGACTCCAGTGGTTATCATTCCAATTTTGATGTACTCGACCAAATTGTAGTCGTGCTAAACGATGGTGTCTCTGGAGTCTGGGAGCTTTTATTGGCACATATGACTTGAGACCGGCTTCTTTAAGTCTCTTTCTTATTGTGCGCTCAATTAAATACAAGTTTGTACTTGTTATGAACAGACAGAATGACTGTAAAATGTAAAACACAATACAAATAAACAAATTAATTTGACATTTTGACATTTAAGACTTTCTTGTGACAAGGAGCTTTCAAAGCTATGTAGATATAGTCTATAAAATACAAATATAAAGAAATATTGCATTAATAACAGGTTCCTTTAAATTTGCCGGTGTGTGTGCATTAAATTGTTAACTTCTCATAGCCTACTTTAGGCTTGTTTTAAACTAAGCAGAAAATGAGGATTTATTGATGAAAAACATGGCTAATTGTTAACGTACCTAACTTTTTTATTATCAAACATAAGCAAATGAATCAAAAAAGAAAATGTTAAGAAAGCCTGAGGCTATAATTAAGTTTTAATTTCAATATTTTATATATGCTAGAATATTCCACAGGGTGTTCCGAACTTTAAGGAAAAAACACAGTAGGATTGTTACACCGGTATAAAATGACATTGACCTGTCTAGCAACAATATTATTACATCGATATTCTTAAATAATATACCTATAACATACTAAAAAAATCACTAAAATCGGACAACAGGTTTAGGAAATTTGAGACATCTAACATGTCCAATTTTAAGGTGTTCCGTTAATTTTGCCGGTGAGTGTTATATATATATATATATATATATATATATATTTTATTATATATATATATATATATATATATATATATATATATATATATATAGATTCTGTCTCCGGCTTCTGTACACAATGTAGCTGCGCCTATTTTTTTTTTAATTTTAAAGTGTTTGTCCTTGTGTAGTGTAGTGTGTTGTACCATTTTATATTTATATAACATTTTATTCTTGTCGGATAGGCCGCAATTGACGAAATACCCCTGAAGATGATCTAGGGATCGAAAGTATTTGGGCAAGATTAAATTAATTAAACTGTGCTCGATATTTGCCTTTCATTTGATCAAAAAACACGATATGGTTTAATGCATATAAATAATTTCTTTCTTTTGAGTTACAATTCTTTGATATACTTGTCGCCAAACTCAATGTAGAAGGTACATAGGAGGAAGAGGAAGGATCTCTTCCAAACAAATTAAAGCTCCTCCAAAAGCCCTCCGCTTATTTATTAATTAAAATACAATCAAGGTGTATAAATATTATCTAACTTAAATCATATTTTTTTCAGGAAATTGTAAAGCGGTATAGCCAGTTTCCCACATTAAAAGGAGACTTTTTCGTATATTCAGACATCTTTACTGAAGGACGACCTGCTTATTGGTCTGGATATTTTACGACCAGGCCCTTTATGAAATTATTAGATAGAGAATTAGAAAGCTCCCTTCGAGGTGCCGAGATTCTCTACACCATTGCTCTTAATAAGGCGAAACAAAATAAGTTGGCGTCATATTTGAAAGTTCTAGAGAGAGATTTTGAGAAATTGATTAGGGCACGACGATACTTGGGTAAGATATTTTTTTAAGCTAAGTGATGTATCATATATCCCATGAATTATAGATTTTAACTTGAGATCGTAGATAATATAATAGATAAAAATTCAATGCACAGTGTAAAAAACTAAATAGTCTCATTTGTAATTGTATAAAGCCCATGTTCAATACACAAAAAGTTTTTCGAACCATAATTTTTTCTATAGATTTATAAATTTAACAGATACTAAAATTAGTAATAGCGAGATACAACTTTTAGAGAAAGGATTTAAAAACAACTTGCCTCAATATAATAATGAAAAAAGTTTAGGTGTAGAATGTGAACTAGCATTAAACAAAACTGCCAACAATATTAAAAAAAGTGTCATTGCAAAATATATTTTCGATGTGTGTAGTGAAAGTAAAAATTCCTGTTACAACGAGAATCAAATAGATATAATAATATAATATAACAATATATAGTAGAATTTGTAAAAAATCAAAATATTAAAACAATAAACAAAGATCCGTCGGAAAGTATCAAAAACAAATTAAACTGGCGTTAGAAAATTTAAAATCAATATTAAATTCAATTAGAACAAAAATACCTCAATATCATGAACCCATGGCCTCCTAAATTATACTCTTTCTTAAAGTAGATAAACGTGATCATCCAATAAGATCTGTAGTTTCTTTTTATACAGTTCCGTCATATAAACTATCAAAAAAAACTATTAGAGGTTCTTTTAGAACACACTAAATTTTCACCACACAATTTACTTTAAAAAATACAATAGAACTAGTTAATAAAATACAACATTTTCAATTACCTAACAACTCCAAATTAATTTCATTTGACGTAAAAAACCTTTTTCTTAATACTCTTTCTACATAAACATTGTGTTCTAGTAAAAAACATTTTACACCATAATATTACAAATCCAATCATTACATCTGAAATTGTACATCTTCTTGAAATTTGGATAAACCAGGACTACTTTTAATTTAATAATAAAATGTATACAAATAATAGTGCATTGCTTATAATGGGTAATCCTCTAAGCCCATTGCTATCAGATATTTTTATGGATCATTTAGGAACAATGCTTTCAACACATTCTGTATTCAAGCAGTTTTTATATTGATACATAGACGTTGTACTGGTATATTTTACAGGAACGAACAAGCAACTTAACCAATTTTTATCTTATATTAATTCACTCCATAGTCATATTGAATTCACAATAGAAACAAAACAGAATAAATTTTCTAGATTTAAAAATTATCGAGACTTAAAAACAAACATGAGTTCCCTGTATTGCATACTGACACGACTATACACAATTCATCATCCTACACAACACAAAGCCTACCATAGCATGTTACATAGATTAATAGAAATTCCCATGTCAAAAAACAACTTCTAGATAGAATTGAATATTATTTAACAAATAGCAGTAAACAATAGATACAACGAAGCAACGAACACATAATAAATAAAATTTTAAATCATAAACTACTTAAGAAAGTCCTGAAATTATTATTTCCACCACCAGAGATAAAACCCAGTACCTTCTGTTCGATTACATATACAGGCAAGATAACAAAAATAGCCAAACACATAAACAAGAAAGGAGTAACATCAGATTTTAGAACAAAGAACAACCTAGGCAAATATATTAATTACAACAAGTGTCAAAAGAAAAAGCATTTACATAGTGGTATATACGAACTTAAATGTGACGACTGTAAAAAACTTACATCGGTCAAACTGGGAGAACTTTTATCAAACGAATAGCAGAACATAAAAGGGCTTTTAATAATAGAAAAACAGATTTTACATGTGCTTGCAGGAATTAATAAAGCGGAAGTACAGGGACGACAGATCTATAAAAATTATATCATTTAGCCAGGGGGCATTAAATGCACTGGAATCGAATCGAATTGACTCCAAGTTACACTAGAACTGTCTTCAGAATCTTATTTGTTTTGTAACCTTTTATACATGAACCTTTGAAGAAGTGATCCAAATATCTCCTAGATATGAATAGAAATGATATGGAAATTATATTAGGTCTCCTAAATGTGAATAGGAATGATATGGGAATTATAGTAGGTCTCCTAACAGGACACTGTCGCCTCAAAGGACACATGAATATAATCATGAGACGGTGGGAGACTTTCTGTGCAACATCGTAGGGTTGGATAGAATGGGGCTCAATAAAAGGCCTTTGAGCTGAAGGGACAACTTTAACCTAAGGATGAACCACGATAGATAGACCTCTTAAGTCCAATAGGATAGTGGTTAAGCCATATTGAATTAACTCATATTGAACTAATAATTTTTATATATCATTTCAATAGAATATTCGCTTAAAATAGTGTTATTCTTGACTCATCTTAAGTGGCATCCTGATTCGCATTATGTCACATCGAATTTATTGATTTCGTATTTGCAGAATGTCCACCCCAGAACTTTTGACTAGTTATGATCGTGAAAAATTGCTTTTTGGCAAACAAAGAATTCATCCAGCACTGGTTTATTTTTACATTTTTAAATTTAATCTAGTCCTAATAGTCACTATTTATTTTACTTGAGCTTTCTTCATAATTTTCAATGAGTCCTGGTATAAACTAAAAAAACTATTACAGATACTTGTAGGTATATAATACGTCTAAGACATACAAATAGGTATTAATTTTAAGGGAGTTTATTTTAAAGAAAGGAAAATATTATCTAAAACATTCATGAGAAACATTAAATATTAATAGCAAAATTATGAGAGAAATATAATTAAAAATGATTAAAGACAAACTTTATTAAATATTAATGAAGCATCTACATTCTTAAGAATTTTTTAAAACTTTATTTTGACCCAGTTACTGATAACCTTCAGCAATGAACTAATATTTAATTACGATAAATAAATTAGTATGTTCTTATTTATTAAATAAAAATACAAATCATATGAACTCTCAGTGGAAAGTACCTACCATGATTAATTGTGTTACCCAGAAAAAAATACAATAACTACACGATTAGGTCCAGTAAACAATATAATATCAAAATTTTGAACTTCTGAATATATTTTTATTTGTTTACAAGAAGTTTACTTAGGAATACAAAAAAAATTAATATAGAACAAACCATTTAAATATAAAATCAACCTTATCCGAATCTCTTAATTTTAGGTTACACGGGTTAACACATGTCGTTAATTATATTCTTCCTTCTTTTATTTAGATATATTCTTGTTTAAATCTTCTACCCTATATCCTTAATTAACACTAAAAGTTATAGTTCCGGAACAAATGATGTGGTGGCGCCAAACTTCCAGCCAAACCACGTCACCATAGACGATATAAATGAACCGTCCTGTGTTCTCAGTAGGAGTAATGCATTGGTTAATGATCAGTGTAGTAGTATCTGGAGGCTCGGGAGACTGAAACCTTAGAAGTCCCGAAGAAGACATCAGAGAGGATGTCGAAAGCTCGTCGCAATGATAATCGACGCGGTTCAACCTGGAAGACGGTTAAGTTTAATATAAACTACGCGGAACTAATATAATACTAACCGCGGAAATCTTTCGGAACATTATATGTTCCTTATATTTGAATATCATTATTAAATTTAAACATAGATAACTAATTTGTACATTTCTTAATTTTTTTCAGGACTTTTTCAACATCATGATGCCATCACGGGTACCAGTAAATCATTTGTAATGAGAGATTATGGATTAAAGTTGTTTGAAGGGATTAGAGATACTGTTAACATCCAACAAAACGCCCTTCAAAGCCTTTTATTTCCAGACATTCCTATTAAGCCCGACCAAAATTTGGTTTTAAGTGATATTGAACGAGAATCATTTGAAAAGCTTCCTCGAAAAACACCGTTGCAAATAGGACCTATAGGTGTCAATCAATCGAGAAGAATTATTGTCTACAATTCTTTAAGTTTACCTCAAGAACAAGTCATACAGGTAGCTAAAGCCAATGTATTTTTGAAGTCATAATGTCCTATGAACCCTATTCTAAGTTATTTCAAAAATTCAGAAAATTGATTTATTATGTGTGTTTGGGAGGGCGGTATAATGATTATATAGTGATTGGTCCACTCCACTCTTCAATCTCTATGTGTACATACAGGTGCAGGTTGCGGTACTTTAGTTACCTGCAATTTGTAATGTTTTATACAAATTTTGATAGTTATGACAGAACCTCCGTATGAAGTTTCATCAGAATGATTTGGCGTACATAATTTATAGATTGGCATTTTCCAGGAACTTTTACCTGTAAAGTGCATTTCTAAAATAAGCATTATATCAATTTTGTTTACAATTAAAAAGGTTTTTAACTCTTGGCTGCTTTAAGCCATACCGTTGGTATTCCATATTGGCAGTATAAGTATGATAGCCATGTAAACGGTTCTGGATTTGAGTGGGCGTCAGGCGGCTTGATACAACGTCTAATATATCTGATAATTTAGTAATGTTTTCTAGTTTATTTATAATTGGTTGTGAATTGTTGGCTTTCGTAGTTTGTGTTGACTATTGGCAAGCGGTTTTTTGTCTTAGGATTGAAAATTTTTTGAAGCTCCTTGTAGACCTTGCACCCCTTGTAATTAGCGGGATGACTTCCTTTACATAGTGCGCAAGTTGCTGTGGTTTGCCTATCTTTCATGCAATCCTTAGAAAGATGACCTTTACCACATCTGACCCATCGAGATAGTCTGTGACAAAAGGATATTGTGTGACAATAAAGTTGACAACTCATACATTGTGATAGGTTACATTTAAAGTGTGGAGCTTCAAACTAGACGATCATTCTTTGCAATACTTTGATGTCATAAATATCCTTATTATTCTGTGTTTGATGGTTGAAATGTTTCTAATTGTGTGCCTATGTTTTACTTCATTTAATGATACAAGGCAAGGTAGACGGAAGAAGAGGGCCAGGTCGAAGAAGAACGTCATGGCTTAGAAACCTGAGAGACTGGTTTAACAGATCCTCTGCATCTCTTTTCCGAGCTGCCGTCAACAAAATTACTATAGCCAATTTGATAGCCAGTGCTCGATAATCGAGCAAGGCACATGAAGAAGAAGAATGTTTTTCAATCTCAACTGTTAGTGTATATATATATCAATTGATTAGGGCACATTTTTCAGGACCACTCTATAACTGCTCCATGTTTGGGTTGATAAGTTCGGAATTCAACTTTTTTTCTATTAATATTTCTATAGGTATGTTTGAATAGTGGCTTTTTTCGTTCGGTAAAACTTTAATTTGATTATTTCCAGTTATTTTACAACAATAGCCATCTTTAGCAACAAAGTTTATTATGGTTGTAAACTCATTAACATTTAATACATTGGGAACAAATATATTGCTGGAGATTTGCTGTCTCTTTCATTACTTTTGTTGCTTGTCTGTTCGGTTTCCAATGTTTCTTCGTTAAGTGCTTGAAATCGATGACGAAAATTTTTTTCTGAACAAAATCAGATAATGTTTGTTGACGTAATGTTCTTATTGGATTTTTTGGTCTTTATTTGTTATTGTTTTTTTTTTTTCGTGTTGGGATTGTTTGCCATTGTGTTTCATCATTGGTTATTTCCGCTCTCTCTTCATTGTTGAAATCTATGGAATACTATATCTGAGAACTTTGCGATGACAGTTGTTTCAAAGTTTAGCTAAAGGGGTTATGGAGTTTATCAATAATGTTGATTATATATATTAGTTTTTGTGATTCTGTCTGGACCTGTGGTGTTACAGTATTCGGAATTCGTTGAACGAAACATGGCGCCGGCCGAAACAATATAATGTAGACTATTTCGAAATAGACTACATACTCTCCAATAACAAAAACATGCACCGACGTTACAGTTCTAAACAAATTCTATACCGGGATTGACTATAGATTGGTTAAACCCATCGAGCAATAAGACAAAAGAGGGAATCTAATCGTTATGAAAAGGAGACCAAAAAAGTGGCTTCTGATGGCGGACATATCCGGAAATGCAAATGCGCCAAATTTAAATTTCATGACACTTGATAATAATCATACAGTGGTGTAAGGGTTCGAATTTATCTATTTATTTATTTTATATTACATAATATTTTATATTATATATTTATCTATTTATTTATTAAAATTATTTATTACAATACTTTTTTTAACACTAGAACACAATAAAGTTTTAATTAATAACGATAATAGTCTAAAATGTTAAACAATTGTTAAAAAACTTCAATAGAAAATATAAATAAGCTTTCATGTGACAGTTTTGACAAACAATAACATCAACAATAACATAACCCAACTAAATTTGATTTCTTAAACAAGGAAAGAGATTCTCTTTCCTTGTTTAAAGTGGCCTCTAAAGATCGCACTTCCTGTCTAACAATATGTTTGCCCCCACTACCTTTACATTCCCTCTTTTGTCTTATTGCTCGATGGTTAAACCCATCGAGTTAGAATCTATGGAGAAGCTATGAGCATATTAAGGTATGTATTAAAAACGGCGTAGGTAGTCGTGGCTAACGATGATACCAATACGGCAGTGGGATCAGGGCCAGACTCAATAATATTAAAACTATTATACAAATATGACTAGTTATTCAGAAGATTTAATCATAATCTAAAAAAGTGCAATACATTTTAGTAAACTATGATTTGTTTATCCCGCGGTAAATACTAAAAACACGATATATTATACATAACGATAAATTAATACAGTCAAATACTATTAATTTATTCTCTGAAGTACGGGCCATTACTTTGTTTACATATTTGTATACTAACATGTGGAACGTTATTCCTGAAAATTTTTTATTAACATTGCTTTTGTTACTGCAACTACGTTGAGAATAAGAAACCATTATTATGCACTATCACAATATATTATTACAGTTTCTATAAAAGTATTATACAACTAAAAATATTCGAAAAACAACAAACGTAAACAAACATATACGATCTGTCAAAAGTGTCAAAACAATCTTGTTGTTGTTGTTTGTTTGTGTTTAAATGACTGCGGACATTAAATCCATTCGCCAATCTTACAATTTGAGGTGTAGTGTGTGTGTGTGTGTAGAGTAATTGTCTTGATACTTAGCAAAGTCGACGTCATTGTCTTTGCTAAGAGACGCTAATTGTATCCGAACGTCTGCGGTCCCTCTGGTGTGTACCGATCACACAAGGATAGAAATTATTTTCATTTATTAATTTTTTTAATAAACGAAAATTTCCACCCAGGTGGGATTCTAACTCACGACCTTTAGGTTTAAAGGCAGGCGCTCTTACCACTGAGCCACAGAGGGGGTCAAAACAATCTTATTAAACGAGAACGATACCCAACCACCGATGTCCTGATTCAAAAACAAACGGAATACCAAAAAGAGCTAAGCACAAGACTAAAATCAATAGAGACACTGAAACAAATGGATATAAACGGACTAGCCAATAAAATAAAAGTAACTGTAACAACATCGGTTAAGAAAATAGGCTCTAGCACGAAAACATCTAAACTCCAACCTAATACAATTATACTAATCCAAGAAAGACGAAACAAAAAAGATCGAACTTCGGACAGATTCAAAAGTTAAAAAAAAAACGTGAAGAAAGAAATTAGGAACGATCATAGAAACTATACTAACAATCTAATAAAAGTTATAATACAAGTTAACTGCAATATGAAAGTACTGAAAGCAAAAAGCTCAAGCGGCATAACAAAAATCGTAGAAATAAAAATGAGAAAAACGTCACCGTCCGAGACAGAAAGGAAATAACCGAGGCCATTGAAAAATTCTACACTAAATTATACTCGGTAAATACACAACCACAACAACGACGTACTCAACGAACAATAATTAACACCGGCTCAGAAGAAATACCTGACATAACCGACTATGAAATAAGAATCAACTAAAAACGAATAAATGTCCCGGAGAGGATAAAATTACAGTTGAAATGTTGAAAATTGGTGGCACAAGATGGAACAGGTATTAAATATTCTATTAATAAAGTAATTGATGAAGGAAAGATTTCTCAAGATTGGTACAACTCCAAAGTCATTCTACTATTCAAGAAAGGAGACAAAGCAAAAATCGAGAATTACCGACCAATATTCTTGCTATCACATCTGTATAAATTACTACATAACTAAAATCATAACCAACCGCCCAACACATAAGCTCGATTTCTATCAACCTATCGAGCAGGCTGGATTCAGAAAACATTTTAGTACCATAGACCATTTGCACACCGTAAGAATACTAATAGAAAAATGCACCGAGTATAATGTTCCAATTCATATGGCATTCATCGATTTCCATAAAGCATTCGATTCCATCGAATTATGGGCAGTGCTTGAATCTCTAGAAAATACATGTATATATTTAAGATACATTAACATAATTAAAAACATATATGACAATGCCACCATGCAGATAAAGCTAGACGAAAACACAATAACTAATCCCATAAGACTACAACTGGGAGTAAGACAAGGAGACACCTCCCAAACTATTTACCCTTGCTTTAGAAGGCATTTTTAAGAAACTAGAATGGAACGACAAGAGTATCAACGTCGAGGGATCATACTTAAACCACTTGAGATTCGCAGATGACATAGTTTTAATAGCCGATAATATCCAAGAACTAAATATGTTACAACAATGAAATACAGTTTCAGGAGCGGTAGGCTTAAAAATGAACTACAGTAAAAGAAAAATACTGAGCCGACACCAGACAAATGTAACAATACAAAATCATACCATAGAAAATGTTGAACATTATGTATATCTAGGTCATGTCATCACACTAGGAAAACCAAATCAAGATGCTGAAATTAAAAGAAGAACACAACTGGCATAGGCACTTTCGACAAACTAGCATATATCTTGAAAAACCCCTCCATTCCTGTAAACTTAAAGAAAAAGGTGTATAACACATGCATACTACCAGTTTATACCTACGACTTGGAGACAGTAGCCCTTATCAAAAAATATGCTAAAAAATTAGAAACAACGCAAAGAGCAATGGAAGGAATCATGCTTGGAATATCACTGAGAGACAAGATTAGAAACACCGAGATACGACGTAGAATCAAGATTAGTGATATTGTGGAAGAAATTACAAAAATGAAATGGCGCTGGCAGGTCACGTAACCCGATATAATGGCAACAGGTGGACACGGAGAATTCTAGAATGGAGATCAAGGACAACAAGAAATATAGGAAGACCTCAAAAAAGATGGGTAGATGACATAAGAGCAGTGGCAGGCAAACAGTGGATTAGATTGATGCAAGATAGAGAAAAATGGAAGCAATTGGGAGAGACCTACATTCAGGAGTGGATGGAAAATGGTTGACAAAGAAGAGAGACCAATATAATTAGGCACTGCGTTGGTTGAAGAATGCTTGGTGCATATTGAATATTTCCTGACTGTTGTTGTGGCCCGGTGTTATACATTTCTTTGCACAGGAACCAAATATGCACTAACAATTAAATTTAATACATATATTTTGCTCCTGGATCCTCTGCTAATACCTAAATTTATAGTAGTAGTTTATTACTGGATAATTACTTTTTATAACAAAATTTAACACAAAAATGTTTTCCGTTTGTTGTATTTAAGTTTAAGTTGAATTACTATATGATAAGGATGATAAAGTAATTGTACTAATTACTTTTTTGACACTTGTGAAGGTTTGAACGAGACTAAGAATTATATGGTGATAGTAAATTTAAATTATAAATTGTGTGAGATAGAATTAAACATACATATTAGATTTCTAGCTTGCTTGGGGAGAAGTATGCACATATTTTCTATCTCTGCTGTTTTACATAGCTTATTTCGGTCTATATGTTTCGTAAAAGTTAATATTGTTGCCTTTTTTTAGCTCAGAGTCAATACCAGCAACGTAAAAGTCGTTGATAGTGATGGCCTCAATGTTCCTTATCAAATTAACCCTGTGTGGGACCTTTCCGATTTTTCGAAGATGTACATAGCGGCAGATGAATTCGAATTAGTATTTATAGCCAAACTACCAGAGCTGTCTGTTACATCGTTCAATATTGTGTATGAAGCATCTGTCAAAGAAAAGCTTACTACCATTTATTGTAAAAATTGTCAAAAGTCAACTACCATTATTAGTACTGAAAACGAGGTAAAGGCGGAAACCTTAAAATCACAATTCAATATTAAAGATATTCCTGCTGGAGATATTCAGTTAGAAAATAATAAATTTAAGGTAAGTGTAAAAGTGTAATTTAGTAATAAACGTAAAGAAATAAAAATTTAAACAAGCTTTAACAATATTTCTTAAATAATCGCCAACTATTTAAAACCATACTTTGTTTAGAAAAGTCTTGTCTGGCACCAAGCTAGACAACATCTTCTTCTTAGGGTGCCTTCCGTTCCGAACTTTGGCGATACTTCTGGCTATGATGACTTTGGTTGCTTTACGGAATAGCTGTGTTGATGTCTTTCTATACCATGCTCTCCGCTTAGCAGGCCAGGATATTCTTCTTCGTCCTGAGATCATTTTTCCTTCAATTTTATCTTGCAAAATGGATTGGAGTAGCTCGTATTTGTCTTGATTTCTCATTATATGTCCCAAGTACTTCAGCTTACGTACCCCTATCTCACTCCCCTTAAGATTTTGACCTGATCCACATTCAAACATCTATCTATCTATAGCCCAAAATCTATTCATGTGTTACCTCTCATATTTGTCTCTATTTGTCTCTGTCTTCTGTTTGTCTTTTCCACATTGGACCTGCGCTTTGCTCAATGTCATCTTTTTCCATCTCATTTGCGGTCGACCTCTTGACCTTTTTGCAGTATATAGTCTCCAGCGGCCAATTTCTTTATTCCATCTTCCATCCTGATATCTTTCGTTATGCCCAGCCCATTTCCATTCTAATTTCAATGCATGTTCGACAGCGTCTGCTGTTTCGGTTTTTCATTTTATCCACTTGTTCCTCTTTTTATCTCTCAACGATATTCCCATTTGTCTTTTCATAGCTCTTTGAGTTTTCTTTATTTATCTAAGTGCTTACTCACGTCTGGCACATATCAGAACAGGTAGGACGCATGCATTAAATACCCTTGTTCTTAATTTTAAAGGTATTTTTTGGTTTTTGATAGTATATGAGAGTTTTCCGAATGCAGCCCACCCCATTCTTATTCTTCTGGTTATTTCTTTAGTCTGGTTACTTTTGTCTGCTCTGATAGCTTGTCCTAAGTAAATATAGTCTTGGACGTGTTCTATGTTTGTTCCACCTATGGTAATTACTGATCTGTCTTCTGTATTAGTCATTATTTTAGTTTTCTTTAGATTAATTTTTAGTAATTTCTCAAGAGATGTTTTTTCTAGGTCTGAAATCATTATTCGTAGTTGTTCCATAGTTGTTGCTATCAGGAGTACATCATCGGCGAATCTTAGATGATTTAAATATTTCCCGTTTATACAAATCCCCTTATTGTCCCAATCTATAGATTTAAAAATGTCTTCCAACGCCAGAGTAAATAGTTTGGGTGAGATTGTATCCCTTGTCTGACACCTCTACAAATTCTAATTAATGGAGTTTGCAAATCTCTGTCTAGCTGAATTCTCATAGTGGCGTTTTGATATATATTGTGGATTAACATTCTGTACCGTGAATCTATTCGGCAATTAACTAGCGCTTCTTCCACTGCCCATAGTTCTATGCTGTCAAACGCTTTTTCATAGTCAACAAACGCTAGGTATATTGGAAGGTTGTATTCGTTGGTCTTTTCTATCAATATTTTAAGAGTGTGAAGGTGGTCGGTTGTGCTGCACCCCTTTCTAAATCGTGCCTGCTCAACTGGTTGGTATGCATCAAATTTGTTGTTTAGTCTAGTTGTGATCACCTTAGTGAAAGTTTTATAGATTTGTGACAAGAGAGATATTGGTCTATAGTTAGCTAATTTTGATCTATGTCCTTTCTTATATATCAGAATTGTATTTGCCTTGTTCCACTCTAGCGGTATTTGTCCTTCAAACAAACATTTATTGAAAAGTATCTTTAGGTAGTCTTTTATCTTTTCCCCTCCTTCTTTTAACATTTCAATTAGAATTTCATCGTCTCCCGGGAGACATTCACACAACCATATTTAAATTTAAAGAGTTTAATATGTCACTGATTTGTTCTAGATATTATTTAATGGAAATACAGGGTTTATGAAGACTATAACTAGAAAACATAACCCCAAAATAATGCAGTGTGGAATTCAATTTGCCGCTTACCGTAGTGCTCAGTTCCACTCAGGGGCGTACCTGTTCATGCCTGATCCCAACGAAAGAGACTATGAGAAGGACGTCCTATCGCAATATAAAGATCAAAAGAGTATTATTATAACTAGCGGACCTCTTTCTACGGAAATTTCTGTTATCTATGGACCATTTTTGATGCACACTGTGACTGTCTATTTGGTGGAAAATTCAACATTGGCTAATGGGATTTATATAGAGAATGCCGTTGATTTTGAGAATCCTCCCAAAAATAGAGAAACAGAATTATTTATGCGGATTCTGTCTGATGTTCAGAATGGCGAACCTCCTGAATATTACTCAGATCTTAATGGTTTTAATATGCAAAGACGAGTTAAGATAGAGAGAATAGGCGAGTATTTTTATTTACTTTTATCTATCATCTATCTCCCTTTATTTAAATATAAAAAACACTTTTTAATATAAAAAATCCCGTATATAATAACTTTATATAAATAAATTGTAACTTTAAATCCCGGCGTAATTTTTTTATATCAAACGATACTCAAATTTTATTTTTAAACATCTTATTTAGTTTATATATACTAATTAAATTTACTATCACACCGGAGTGTGACTTCACGGCGGCCATATTGTTATTATTACTTTCCAAACAAAAGTTGAAATGCCCAATCTCAAGACTTTTTAATTTATAGTATGGTGTTTCTACGATAATAGGTACTATCACATTCATTCATAATAACTATTTCTATGAAATAGAAATTTAAATTAAAGAAATTCTAACCTAACTTTATTGATACATGCATTTAATTGCTATTTTTATAAAACAACATGCTTTATTATTTACACAACCTTGTAAAATTGTTGTAGTAACTATTAGAATACTTAAATATGGTAAAAAGCGGAAAGATTCTGTAAAAAAAAATGAAAAAATAACGAAAAATACAAATTATCCACACCAAACAAGGTTTGTTTGGAAAATGAAACAGACAGATGTCAATAAAATCTACGGTATCACCACCGAACAACCGTATCACTCCGGCAGTCCATTAATCTTAAAAAAGTCTGACTTTTACTTGTTCGTCAGAAATAAATAACGTATTCTTTGATACTTTATACGTTATAGATGGCGTTAGGAGTAAACATAAATAATTGAATCATTTTAATGTAATATAATTTTAAAAAATAAATAGTAAAATTACTTTATTTAATTTTAAATGGCATATGTTATGTTGTCTCTTTCGATCACAATAATAAACATATCATTTTTCAATACTTTAGGTTTAGAAGGCAACTATTATCCTACTACCACCACAGCTTATATTCAAGACAATAATATCCGCCTCAGTCTTTTAGTCAACCACGCTCAGGGCAGTTCCAGTTGGCAGCCAGGCTTTCTAGAAGTTATGCTCGACAGAAGAACATTATATGATGATTCCAGGGGAATGGGCGAAGGATTAGTTGATAACCGAAAAACTGTTAGTAAATACTGGTTATTGGTAGAAGACATATCACAAGTTAAGCCTGACAGTAAGCCGCAACCTAAAAGGTTTGATAATGGAGACGATCCATATGGAAAGGAAGATGTTGTTAGGTAAGTGTTGGAATAAGAAGCAATAATATACTACTTATTAGTTTGTTCAATTCATTTTGTTATTTGATAAGAAAAATATAATATAGTTTTTATTATATATTATTCAATATAATAGGGGAGAAGAGGGAGACTTGATCATATGGGAAACTTGATCACTCTTTAAAATTTCAGTAAATAAGTAGCCTAAAATTATAAAACCGGCAACAAAGCGTAGCTGTTAGTATGTCTGAAGATCCCATTTAATTTAGTTTGTATTAGAATCCACAACGAAGAGCACGTGTTTATTACAAGTTTTTTGTCCCTACCGAGAAGTGTTTTCAGAATTATTTCAAGTTGATTTTCTTTAATATTCGTTAAGGTGAGTTTTTCGTATAATTTTTATTTAACACTATAATCATTCAGTTTACGTTTTGCACATTTTGCAATGAGTTCTAGTTTGTCGTCATATTTTTATAGACAAAAATATTCAAATGGCGTCTTGGAAGAGACTTGATTACATCTTATCTGGGAGACGTGATCCCGGGATCAAGTCTCCCAGAAACTCCTTATAGATGAGTGTTTTTTATTTTATAGATATGCCACGTCAATACAAAAGGAGGGAAGGAGCAAAGAAAAGAACACCAGTCGACAGCCAGAAGTTAAAAGAAGCTGTATTAGACGTTATTAATAACGGAACGTCTCTCAAGGGAACGGCAAGTCGTTTTCAAATAAATGTTATGACATTAAAAAGATACGTTCGCCGACAACGATCTGAAAATGTTGAAATAACCTATTATCCTGATTACAAGAAGGCTCAAATTTTTACAAATGCAGAGGAAAATATGTTTAAAGATTATTTAGATGTTGCCAGCAAATTACACCATGGCCTTACAACCAAACAAGCAAAAGAACTAGCATACGAGTTTGCCGTAAGAAATAATAAAAAAATACCTGCTTCGTGGAATAAACATAAGCAAGCCAGTTACGACTGGTTATACGGATTTCTGAAGAGGATGAAGACCTTATCACTACGATCTCCGGAAGCAACCAGTCTTACTAGAGCAACTAGCTTCAACAGAAACAATGTATCAAAATTTTTCATAAATTTAAAGGCAGTTAAACAGTTCTTGAAAGCAATGGAATTGGACCAGAAGCAATTTGGAGCATAGACGAAACTGGCCTTTCAAGTCCATAAGCCAAAGAAGATTATTGCATGCAAAGGTGCAAAACAGGTTGGTAAAATTACGTCAGGGGAACGTGGACCAACAGTAACTCTTTGTGGTGCAATCAACGCAATTGGAAATCATAAACCGCCTTTTTTGGTTTTTCCTCGAAAACTTTGGCAAGATCGCATGATTGATCACAGCCCACCAGGGACCACCGGCGTAGTTTATGAAAGTGGATGGATGACCGCTTCTAATTTCGTCAAATTTTTTGAACATTTTCAAAAACATGTAAAGGCGACTACCGACAATAAATCTTTAATCATAATGGACAATCACGATAGCCACGTTAGTCTGGAAGCCATAACGTATGCCAAAGCACACAGAATAGTTCTTCTTACCATACCACCACATACGTCGCATAAGCTCCAGGCGTTAGACACAAGTGTATTTGGCCCTCTCAAGAGTTTTTATAATACTGCCTGTGATGATTGGATGGTGGCGCACCCAGGAAGGACAATTACAATATATGAAGTCGGAGGATGCTTAGCTTACGCTTTCCCCCTAGCTTTTACTCCACGTAATATTGAGAGTGGATTCAGAGTTACGGGTATATGGCCTTTCAATTCCAATATTTTTATTGATGAAGATTTTATGTCGGCGTATGTTACTGATCGCGAAGATCCGGAAAACAAATCCACGTTATCCCAGTTTGATGTTGCACAACCAGCCATAGATAACAATAATCAACCCTCCACTTCTACTGGCACTTTCACCACCACATTCCTCAAGTGGATCCATTTCACATAATCAACAACTACGACGAACACTAATTGAGGACGAAAATCAGCCTTCTACTTCTACTGGTACTTTCACCACACCTCAAATAATTAGATCCCATTCTGTAAATGGAGATGCTTCACAAAATGAACAGCTACAACAAACATCAAAAGAGCACAATAACCATTCCTTCCCTTCTGCCACGTTTACTAGCCCAGAAATGATTAGACCCCACCCTAAAGCCGGGCCCAGGACTTCAGCAAAGGGTAGAAAGCGAGCAACTACAAAAATTATCACAGCAACACCAGAAAAACTTGCGCTTGAAGCTGAAGTTAAGGCTAAAGAAGAGAAAAAATTAGAAAAAGAGCAAAGGGCCAAAATAAGAGCCCTAAAAAGAATAACTAAACAAAAACTTAAGGATTTGAGGGAATCTCAAAGTTCGGGGGGCAGTGACATTATACTACCATCGTCAGAGTCTGAATATGATCCTAATGATGAATTGCAAGTAGAGACAGATAGCGAATGTGAATCGGAAGCAGAAGGTGACGAGTTTGAGTTGAGTGTGCAAGATTGGGTAATTGTCAGCTTTGTCTCCGAAAGAAACTTAGTCCATCGATACGTAGGACAGATAATGGAAAAAAAGAACGAGGATTTTAAAATCAAATTTGCCCAAAAAAGGGATGAAAAAACCTTTAAGTGGCCAAAAAAAGAAGACATGGGTGAAGTCCCACGTGACCAAATTTTAAAAAAGTTACCACGCCCGACTTTTAGGAGCTACAGTAAGCGCATAGGATGTTTTGTCTTTCCCAAATCACTAAGGATGTTCAATATTCGAGAATAATTTTTTTTCTTTTATCATTTTTCAGTATAGTTTTTTGCCAGAAAGTGTTATATATTTTTAATAACATTATTTGTTATAAGTCATGACTGAGTAAAGTTTGTTTTCAGCATCCAATTTTTGGTTTTATTTTAATATCGTAAATCTGGAAAGGTATAATCAAGTCGCCCATACACAAGGATCAAGTCTCCCGGAGTACGGGGAGACATGATTAGTTTCTCCATGTTACGAAATTCTACAAAAACTCGTTTTTTATTAGCAGTATATTTTTCGGGTGTACAATACCCAAAACTGTGATAAATTTGTAATGTTCCACTAAATTATCAAGGTTCTAGATTGGTTGTAAAAGGAGCTATCTGAAAAAATGTAACGGTGGGATCAAGTCTCCCTCTTCTCCCCTAACCCCGAACTTTTAATACTATTATTTAAGTAATCCTATAGTATACGAATTTTATGAAGGGAGAATCTGGAAAACTATCAAAAACATGCTTTCACATGAATACATTTTAGGTAAGAATAGCCAAAAGTCAGGGCAAGCTAAATCTGGCCTATAAGAATTTCTGCAATGAAAAATATTTGTTTTTCTTTTGTAAATAAGTTTTTTCAATATCTTTGACATCCAGCTGATCCAAAATAATCTGAGCTTATTTATTTACCAGTTTGAAGATAAACCACAAGCAAAATTTCGTTTGTGTTCCAAAAAATACACTCAATTGGTCAATATATGTGCCCTAACTCGTTTCGAGCCGAAGTACCTGGTTCAGGCAACTCTTATTTTGATTTTGGATAAAGATGGTAAACTCGTGTCATCTATAGTAATGAAACAGTGAACAAAATCCTTTTTATCCTTTCTTCTTCTTCTTGTAGTTCCTTCTCCTATCGGAGGTTGGCTATCATCACAGCTATCCGTACCTTATTGGCGGCTGCTCTAAAAAGATCTACTGAGCTGCACCTATACCACTCTCTTAGGTTTCTCAGCCGGGAAATTCTTCGTCTTCCTATGGATCTTTTACCCTTGACTTTACCTTGCATTATGAGCCTTAATATCTCATATTTCGCACCTCTGGTAATGTGGCCTAAATATTCCAGCTTTCTTATCCTTTCTGAAATGATTCAAATATTGCTTTTGTTACCTATTGTATGTACCAGAATTCTGAAACCCAAAACTTAAGCCAAATACTGTTCACACTGCCTGAAGATCCTGAGGACATCTACTGAATATTTTTTCGGTAATCGACGATCTTTTAAAACCATCATTCTTCTTTGTCTATGATTGCTAATGTTGATACACTTTTTGTACGTTATTCACGTAAAGAGTCTTTAATATCTATACGTCATCTGTCTACTCTTCTACTTGAAGAGTAAGAATCTTTATTTGCTGTTATCACTCATTTATGACTGTGTTGGTGCTACTTTCTTATTCTTTCTATCCCATGTAGACTAGGCGGCATCTGTAGAAATTCAGACCATAATGGAAATTTTCGAGGGAAGCTATTTTTTGCTGGAATCCCTTCAGGATATGCCCAGTATCGATAATCACGATATGCGCCAGTCGCAAACCCTGTGCTAAATTTTTTATTTAACAAAATCTGAAAACAATTGAAAATTTCTCATTTTTTTGCTCCTATTTTCATTTATAATTTGAAAAATATTGATCTTAGAGAAAAAATTATAAGTAGTTAAAAGTTTCGTTATTAAATTTTACACAATATTTTGTTAGCTAGAAATTGAAAATTTAATGGTTATTGTTGAAAAAATAGCAATAATTGGAAAAAAATGTACAAAAAAATGAAGTTAATCCTTTAAATGTTTTCGACTTTCTAAACTTGACTTACAAGTTCCATATTCCGCCTAGAAAAACTTTTTAATATGTTTAAAACGTGTGCTAAATTTTGTTAAGATCGGTCGGATAGGTTTTGCATAATAATTTTGCAATCCAGCCTACTGGAAAAAAATCGCAAATTTTCAAATTCATAGTAGGCCCTAAATAAGGCCTTCAGATAGTTGCAATTTTTTTTACATATAAAGGAAGTCTCACACTTTCAAACGCTTTTTGTAAAATTCAAATCGGTTTACTACGAAAGCCTATAAATTTTTTTAAAATTATAAACATTTTTTAGGCTTATAAACAAATTAAATAACTTTACGAGCTTTAAACATATCAATTTCAAAATGTATACACTTAAAGAACATTAAAAGACGCTTCTTTTAAGAAACAAAAAGATACTTTCGGCTTACTGGTTGCCGAGATATTGAAGGTCAAAGTTGGTATACATTTGCCGTGTAACCATAAGTGATAGAGGGCTCGTTTTTAAACAAATACCCTCGTCTTGCCAAATACTTTTTATATGAAAAGTTTTACGTAATGCGCTTCATGGCAACATCCATAAAAAAGACAAATAAAAAACCGTTTTCGCGTAAAATGTCGCTCGGAATCCATGAGAGGTGGTGGTGAGGGACATTCACTTCAAATGTGAATCGGCGAGTATCAAGAATATATTAGCCTCAGATAACAAGCCAGTTTTTATAATTGCAGAGGATATTGATGTTCTCGTAATATTTTTACAAAAAGTAACTGAAAATAAAAATATTTTTTTCTGGAAACCTACCAAAGGAAAAAAATCGGAAGAAATTTATTACTACAACTCTTTCAATAATGCACTTAAAATAAGTGAATCTACGAAATCTTCGTTAAAAAATTTAGTGGGCTTTTTACACGCATTTTCTGGTTGTGAGCAAAAGGAAAAAGCAAAATTGTTAAATTGGTTTCAACAAATAATTATATATGGTAAGAAGCAACCATTTTTTAATGAAAAAAGTGCAACGAAGGAAGAAATTAAACGCAGCGGATGCAAAATTATATCGGCATTGTATATGGGCCACTCAAAGTGCGATTTTACATTGAATAAAATTCGCTACTTGTGCTTTAAAAAAGGTTGCAAAAATAAAAATTTTCAATTGTCCATGCTGCCACCTACACAATCTGCAGCTGAGCAACACTCGCTTCGTGTATATTTCCAAGTACAGCAGTGGCTTGGAAATAACCTGAATGCTACTGAGTGGGGGTGGGAACTAACTCAAAATGGTCTTGAGCCAATACAAACTGAGCAAGTATTACTACCTGACTCATTATTCAGAAATATTATTTGCAAATGTAAAAAACTTTGTACAAAAACATGCAGTTGTATCAAACATGGTCTCAAATGATCTGACTATTGTCTTCACTGCAATGGTCAAACATGTAAAAATATTGATCACAATAAAATATTGGAAGAAGTTGAACGAGATATGGATACGGAGTCGATGGATTCCTTAGATTTTTTGGAGGCACAAGATATAGCTACAGATGAAGGAGAAGAAACATTAAATTTACAGATCGAGGATGAAGATATTGAAATGGAAAATGAAGGTTTTGAGGAAGAAATAAAACCTGAAGATTCTCGTCCTTCCAGAAAAAGAAAAAGACTTAAAAAAATTATTGAAGATTGAGTCAAAATAAAGATTATTTATGAAAAGAAAATTTTTATTTCATTCGCCTTTGTTTTAACAATTTAAATTATTTATTAAAAATTTATAAATACATATTTGTTTACTAAAAGTAACAATTTACTTCAATGTATAAATTGCAAGCCCAAAAAAAAAAACAATTTCGAGCATTACACAGCAGTATAATAACACGTCAATATACAATATACATGTCACTTTCGAATCAAAATATATTCTCAAATCAAATAATGTCATTATTATGATAAAACTGCAGAAATAAATTATTTTTAATGTTAATTATTTTAAAATGTTTGATTTTTACAAAACAAATTTCCTTCGTTTTAACAATTCAAATTATTTATTAACAATTTATAAATACATATTTGTTTACTAAAAGTAACAATTTACTTTACAAGCCCTTACAGATTTTGGAGCACTTTACTTTTGTTTATATTTCAAAACCCGAAATTAAACAAAGTGATGGTCCCCTACTTGATACTCGCTGATTCACATTTGAAGTGAATGTCCCTCACCACCACCTCTCATGGATTCCGAGCGACATTTTACGCGAAAACGGTTTTTTATTTGTCTTTTTTATGGATGTTGCCATGAAGCGCATTACGTAAAACTTTTCATATAAAAAGTATTTGGCAAGACGAGGGTATTTGTTTAAAAACGAGCCCTCTATCACTTATGGTTACACGACAAATGTATACCAACTTTGACCTTCAATATCTCGGCAACCAGTAAGCCGAAAGTATCTTTTTGTTTCTTAAAAGAAGCGTCTTTTAATGTTCTTTAAGTGTATACATTTTGAAATTGATATGTTTAAAGCTCGTAAAGTTATTTAATTTGTTTATAAGCCTAAAAAATGTTTATAATTTTAAAAAAATTTATAGGCTTTCGTAGTAAACCGATTTGAATTTTACAAAAAGCGTTTGAAAGTGTGAGACTTCCTTTATATGTAAAAAAAATTGCAACTATCTGAAGGCCTTATTTAGGGCCTACTATGAATTTGAAAATTTGCGATTTTTTTCCAGTAGGCTGGATTGCAAAATTATTATGCAAAACCTATCCGACCGATCTTAACAAAATTTAGCACACGTTTTAAACATATTAAAAAGTTTTTCTAGGCGGAATATGGAACTTGTAAGTCAAGTTTAGAAAGTCGAAAACATTTAAAGGATTATCTTCATTTTTTTGTACTTTTTTTTCCAATTATTGCTATTTTTTCAACAATAACCATTAAATTTTCAATTTATAGCTAACAAAATATTGTGTAAAATTTAATAACGAAACTTTTAACTACTTATAATTTTTTCTCTAAGATCAATATTTTTCGAATTATAAATGAAAATAGGAGCAAAAAAATGAGAAATTTTCAATTGTTTTCAGATTTTGTTAAATAAAAAATTTAGCACAGGGTTTGCGACTGGCGCATATCGTGATTATCGACACTGGGCATATCCTGAAGGGATTCCAGCAAAAAAATAGCTTCCCTCGAAAATTTCCAATCCAAAACAGATCCCGCCTAGACTAATGCCCGATTACCATGCGTTGACTCTCAAATAGGGTGTATTAATTTTGTTGGCAGCAGCCCGTAAAAGAGATACAAAGGATATTTTAAACCATACGCTTAGGTTTCTCAGTCATGGCGTTCTTTTACGACCTGGCCCTCTTCTTCCATTTATCTTGCCGTATTATAAAATTACGTATATTATATTTCTCTGGGTGGCACATATCATGGCCAAAATATTCCAGTTTGCGATTTTTAACTGTTCCGGGGAGTCTGTTATACGACATGTAAACCTTTTAAATTTTAATAAAATCTCTAAAACAAATAATAAAATTACTTTATTCAAATTATCTCATAAATTTGTTATTTTACAGATCCTTCAATTTACCAACAGAACCACCTACTACCGTAAAACAAGACGTATTTTCACGACCATCTCTGTACAGCAACCATCTTTCAAATTCTCTCATCTATCCAGCCAGCATATTCATCGTGGACTCTGGTCACCAATCAACGATGAACCATTCTCTGAAATTAATAAACAAACCATTCCCATGTGATACGCACTTATTAACTCTCCGCACCCAACCAGATCCTATTTACTCCCAGTTTCCTTCCTCCAGCGCTTTAATGGTCCTACACAGGCAAGGTCACGATTGCGCAGTAGGAGGCAATTATACTTGTGATGTAGATAAGTTTGCGAAAGACTTAAATTTTGAATTTGTGAGTGTGAAAGAAATGGAATTGAAGACTTTAACGGGTTTAGACACAATTTCAAGTTTGCACAGTTTCGGTGAAGTTTATTTGGAACCTTTGTCTCTAAAGACTCTTAATGTTACTTTTGGCTAATCTCATTTTTTCGGTGTTGTTTTTGGGGCATTTGTTTTAAAAATAAATTTTCAGTTTAAAATATTATCCAAATTAAATGAACACTTGAACAAAAATATGTTGGACAGGTTTAAATACAATAATATAAAATAGATTGGAAAAAGAACAGTGTTTCATGTATAGCACATTAGACATCTATAAAAATAATTGTATTCGAAATCTGAAAATTTGTACTTTCGGAATTAATTATATTTTTACAAAGTTTGCTGGAGACAGGATTTGAACAAGAACACAATCTTATTTGTACACCAATTTTGGGTAATGTTTATTTAGAAAGATTCATCATAATTCCATTTCAATATATAGGGTCTTCACAAATTTTACCTTGTTTTTTAATTTTAAACAGACAATATAAAATAAGAAATTAATTGTCTTTTTAGGTAGTATTACTAATATTAGGGTTTCCTATACCTGAAGTTTTTGTTTGGAATTAATTTTGATTCAAAATGGTAGCTTTCATTTATTGTTGTCATAGCAAAAAATAAGGATTTGCAAACTCTCCAACTGTTATTGTTGTTAGTCGTATTATTTGTATTTTATTTATCTTAATATAATTAGGTAATTTTACCTACAACAAATAACGCCTAGTCTAATAATGTCTAATAAATATTAAACTTTTTTGCCACTAGAAGGTAATTTATGTAACACTTTCATAATTTATCGATAATTTGCAAATTGGTTTCTATCAAATATATTGATTACTCCTGTATCTGGTTAAGACAAACTCAAATACGTTAACGTTTTTTGTCAATTTTGAGTTTTATTATCATAGTTTCGGAATATATGTCTCCAACTATCAATCTACTGAATTGGATAATATTTTAAAACAATGGGGTAATAATATAAAAATATCAAAATATTCTTGTAGATAATTGTAAATACCTAGGGACTTTGTTAAATCAGATGTGTAGGTTTTGTAATTTTTTTATTTATTATTAATAGTTTAATTATTAGTCAGTATAATAATTAGTGCTGCAATTTATAAATCAGTCAATCTTGCCACATAAAATTTTAGAAAAAAAAATATCTTTTTAATAGCAGCTTTATTCCAAAAAGAAAATTATTCAATGACTTCTCTCTTCTAAATTTAGGTACCTAAGATAAACAGCTAACAGAATCCAAAATTATTTTAATAATGAATTGGTAAAAGTATCTTTTTTTGTGCCGTGAATATGTTATCAAAGGACATAAGTATTGTTTTTAAAAACACAAGATACTCATAATTTTGTTTTGTATTGTCAAATTGTTAATAATTATCATTCAGCCTGCTGCGTCTATTATAAAACATAGACCTTCTCCAAAAGTAGCCCTATTCTGCTTGCTGTTGCTAGAATCTACACCTTCATAACCCTTTGTCAGACTCGTAATTTGAACTATACAAACACAATCGTGGTATCTATTTTACACATCTATTAATATAATTAACACAATTCACATCATGTATCTAACACATCTATTAATATAATTACATGTCATCATAGTTGCAATCTACAAATTAAAACACAGAGGAAAGCGAAGTGTATGTGTATATTTTCCCGCCTAAGTATTAACTTACAAAGACGTCATGTACTCTGACAGACTTACATGAAAACAATGCATCAATTATTGTAATTGCATTTTTTGTAGAAATTTTAAATTAATTTTAATATCTGTAGTCTATTCTGCAGTCACTTGGTGCTTTCAGCAATGGTGTGATCCATTAATAGACCTATATTAATACCCAGATTGGGCAATGGTTTTTTGTATAGATACTCAAACCATCATATTAAATAAACTTCAGTACTTGTCAATTTAAAAATAACGACTTCACTGCCGAAATAAAAGTAAGAATTGAAAACGCACGTGCCAACTTTATAATAATTAAAAAGGTTCTTTGTAGCAGTATAGCAGAGATTTCACATTAGACCTAAAAATACGATTGACCAAACGTTATTGTACGTGTCCTGTACTATAAAGTTGAATCATGGTACCTGAATCTGGAGGAGTTAAGAATAATTAACTCCTTTGAGATTTGGATATACATAATCGTGTTGAAGAACCCATGGTCGTCTGCGTTACGAACGTTTAAAATCTTAACAAGAATAGATAAAGGAAAAGAAGTTGAAAAAGCAATAAAAGAAAGGAAACTACAATATATTGGTTATATAATACGTGGAGCAATACACGGCATCTTGCAACTCATAATTTAAGTTAAAATAGGAAGCACAAGGAGTGTGGGAAGAAGACGAATATCTTGGTTGAAAACAATGAGAAAATGGTATAGATGCAACTAGAAAAAACTCTTTAGAGCAGTTACTTCGAAAGTTAGAGTGTTATATATAGTACACTCTGTAGAGGATATTCAGAGTACAAAAAAGTTGATTGTAATCATAACTTGTACACTTATTTGAGTGGACTTAGTTGGGTTTACTTTGAAATTCAAAGTTTAAATCACATGAAGATAAATTGAAGTTATGCTGATCGCGGATTTCATTAAATCAATAGCGTAGTACAGAGTCTACAGATCCGGAAACATTACCTACTCAGCTAACGTAGATATGCTTCGATTTTTAACCATTGCCAAAGTGCCTATGCAGTGACTAACACACGCACCCTTTGATGCGCGCTCTTTTTTGTTTATGTCACCTAAATTAATCTCCTATATTAATCTTATACTATACTATTATTTAATCATTGATCCCATAAATTAACAAATCATATTTTAATTTCTTAGTTTTATTCATAAGAAGGGCAGTGAAAAAGACGAGGAGGACCTATGTATAAAAATAGATAGCACAAGCTTTGATAGATACATAGATAGATAAATATTTTTACTCAAATTTTAATAATACATTTTTGTTAGCTGCTTTTGTATCACATTTGGTTGTTTTTAATTTTCTCATTAATGTATAACACAGCTTGCTTTATACCACAGATGTTTAGTTGTAAATTTATAGGTTTACCATGTTAAAAATAGTGTTTACTAGGCCTTTCATCTTTTAAAAAGGTAAATAATAGTGTGAAAGATGACATTAAGTTATAAAATTTGAGTAATAAAAAAAATGGATTTGAAAGATTCAACGTAGCAAACAGAGTCATTAATATCATTAATACCTATCAAATTATAACGTTAGTGTCACTCTATAAATAAAAAATAGGACGAAAAAGAGGTATTGGTGTTTTCTCGTAAATCCGTTGAACGTCATCCAATTTGACATTATTTTCGAACACCGTTGCCATATGTTGGGGATATAAGAGAATGTAGGGAATTCAAAATATTGAAAATGTATGTATGAATTTATCTACTACATTCATTTGGGTACATAATCAAAAATTTAAGATCAAAAATAATTAATTGAAAATTTGTATGAATAAATTTATATACCTAACTAAATGCTACTTAAAAATATATCGGTATTTTAATTGTATTCTAATAAATGTGACAAATATTAAATTACTCCTAAACGCATTCAAAGAAATCAAACTAATATAAGTTGCCCTTGTCAAGTTTTTGATGCCTTTGTCGCTATTTGCATTGAGGATAGAAGGTTTATTTATTAATTTGTTTGTTTATTTAACTTCGTTTGTTTTTTTTACAAAAAATTAAAAACCAATATTATTTTTTTCCATCATCATCATCTTTGGCTCGACAATCCTCTGTGGATCTTGGCCTGCTCTAAGATTCGTCGCCATTCTGTTCGGTTTCTGGCAGCATGTTGCCATCTTCTGATTTTTAATATTCGTAAGTCGGTTTCAACTACATCAAAGCACCTAATTCGCGGTCGGCCTTTGCTTCTTCTTCCTACAGGTGTTCCTGTGGTTAGCTTTTTAGCAATCGTATTTTCTGGCATTCGTATTATGTGTCCAGCCCATCTAAGTCGCTGTGTTTTAATGAACGTTATGATATCTGGCTCATCAAAGAGCTGATACAATTCGAAATTATATTTTCTGCGCCACTGCCCTTGGTCGTTTATAGCTCCAAATATTTTGCGGAGTATTTTACGCTCAAATATTCCCAAAAGTCTTTCATCTTTCTGCGTTAGAGTCCATGTTTCTGCTCCATATGTGAGGACCGGCCTCAGCAATGTTTTGTATATAATAATTTTAGTTCTTCTTTGAATGTTTCTTGAGTGGAAATGCTTTTGGAGTCCATAGTATGCCATATTTGTAAGATTCATTCGTCTTTTGATTTCTTCGCTTGTTTGAGCCTTGAGTTCTTGAGTCAATAGCGACCCAAGGTATGTGAAGTTGTCAACACGTCCAAAGGTATGACTTCCAAAGACTGTTTCTCGTTCTGCATTTGCTATCGAATCCTTTGTAACCAACATGTACTTGGTTTTGTCTTCGTTGATGACCAGACTGACCTGTTTCGCAGCTGTTTCCAATTCTAGGAGATATTGCTCAACATCTCGCTTGCTACGCCCTATTATATCAATGTCATCAGCATATGCTAAGACTTCTATCGATCTGTTTTATTATTTTCTTCCACTTTGTTAATTTCTTATTGAATAGAATATAAGTAAGTACAATAATCCGTTTTTCTGACTGCAATGCTCTGGAAACGCTGACTTCTTTCCTCAATGCAAATGGCGGACTCGGCTTCACTTAATCTCTACTTTTAAGGTACCATTTTGCAACAAGCGACTGAAATAGGATACCGAGACAGGCGACAAATACCCGAGATCGATTGTTCTCTCTTCATGTCTGCTCTCAATGCTATTATAGTAAAGTCGTTCTGCAACCTAAGACAGAGATTAGCGACAAACCACTGTCGTCTATCTGTGTCTCGTCAGTCTCCTTCAAGAGTAGTAGTGAAATCGATTTCACAAGTTTAATGGCAAGGAAGACGAATTGCTAAAGGGAGTTAGTGGCCAAGAATCCACCACTATTTTATCCTCAAGTAGAATTCTGCGGGGACGTTATTATCCTAGGAAATATAAAATCCTCCTTTGCTTCTCGTTTTAAATATTGAGTTTATACACCTCCGTTTTTTCACTCGAAATATGTAATACGAAAAAGATATCGTTATTTTCTTTTTCCAGTAGCCTTTTAAAGAACATTGATCAAATAAAATCATATATTCTATCAAGAGCCAGTAGGAACCAGGAAGAGAGGCAGGCCAAGATCTAGATTCAAAACTCAAGTCGAAGATGACTTGAGGAATCTAGTGGTCAGAAATAGGAAAGCCAGGGCGAAAGATAGGGGGGAATGGAGACTAATTCTTGAACAGACCAAGACCCACCCAGGGTTGTAGAGCCAAAGATGATGATGATGTATATAGATAAAAGAAGCAGGAGAACGAGCTCTAAACGAGGACTTATCTACACTAAGTAACTATTTTAAGAACTGGCGCTTACGTCCTAACACAAACAAAACTGAAACCTGTCTCTTTCACCTGTCGAATCAACTTGCGGGCGATACTCTCAATGTAACTCTAAATGACACAGCTATCAAACATAACAACAACCCCAAATATCTAGGCGTCACACTTGATAGAACACTCACCTTCAAAAGTCATCTTACAAACGCAGCCGGTAAACTAAGAACACGAAATAACTTAATATCAAAACTTGCTGGAACAACTTGGGGTGCTTCTGCAGATACTCTTCGGACCTCTGCTCTAGCTTTGGTTTTTTCAGTGGCAGAATATTGTGCACCAGTATGGCTAAATAGTGCACATACAAGCAAAATCGATGTCCAACTTAACCAAACCATGAGAATAATCACTGGAACAATAAAATCAACGCCAGTGAGATGGCTGCCTACTCTGAGCAATATTGCTCCACCAGATCTACGCCGTACAGCAGCATTAGTGAGAGAGTACCAGAAAATTGTAGCCAACGTACAATTACCAATACATCAAGATATCCCAGACATCTCAAAAGAGCAACAACGATTGAGATCTAGAAATCCTCCAATACGATCTGCCCGAAAAATTGGTAATTCCTATGATATACATAGGCAATGGACAACAAGATGGATGCCAACAGTAGAATCGGACTATATTAAGATATCCACCCCAACTCAGGGTTTCATCGGATCAAATCTGCCCCGGTCCATTTGGGCAAGGCTTAATCGTATACGTACCGGACATGGTAAATGTGCTGATTCGCTGTTCAGGTGGGGTCGTGCAGAAAGTCCACAGTGCGATTGCGGAGAATCTAGACAGACCATAAGCCATTGTGTTTCAGACTGCTTGAATCGTGCCTACCGTGGAAACCTCCAGGACTTTGCGGAATGTTCCCCAGAAGCAATTGAATGGCTATGTAAATTGGACATTAATATTTAGTGTCATTCATTCTATTTGTACTATTTTTAGTGTTTGAATAATATAAATAATATATATGTGTATATTATTGTAAATGTATTTGTATATTTATCGTACTGTTAAAGTCCATACGCTAAAAAAAATAATGTATATAGTTACACATACAGTAAGCGCCACGCTGGTAGACACACGGATAACCAATCGCTAGACTTATTTGATGTACTTTGGCTAATCCCGCCGGTTCTCATATGTGACTTTCAGCCGTAG